ATCTATGTGTCTCATTCTCCCCCCAACCACTTCATGTGTATCATCCCCTCCATACCCTTGATGTGTCTCTCTCCCCCAGTCCATCCATGTGTCTAACTCCCACACCCTCAGCCCCTCCACATGTCTCTCCTCATCCCCCCATGTGTGTTCCCAATCCCCTCCATGCATCTTTCTCCCACCTCCCCAGTCCCTCCATGTGTCTGTCCCCCATCTACCATCCCCTCCATGTGTTTTCCTCCCCCAGCCTCGCCATATGTCTCTCCCTCCAGACCCTCCATGTGTCTCTCCGTATCTCCTCCATGTGTTCCCCCAGCCTCTCGATGTGTCTCATTCCCCCAGCCCATCCATATGTATCATTCTTCCCCTTAGCCCCACCATGTGTCTAATTTTTTCCCACAAGTCCATCCATGTGTCTCATTCTTACCAGCCACTCCATGTGTCACATTCTCCGCCAGCCGCACCATGTGTCTGATTCCCCATCTTCCCATACCCTCTGCCCCCACCCCATGTGTCTGCCTCCATCTCCTACATGTATCTCATCCCATCCCCTCCATGTGTCTCTCCCCATCTCCCCATCCCCTCCATATGTCTCCCCCAACACCTCCATGTGTCTCATCCCCCTAGCCCTCCATGTGTCTCTCCCCATCCCCTCCATGTGTCTCTACACCAGCCTCTCCATGTGTCTCTTCCCCCAACCTCTCCATGTGTCTTTTCCCCAACCTATCCATGTATCTTTCCCCCATCCCCTTCATGTGTCTCTCTCCCACCTCCCCAAGCCCTATATGTGTTTCTCCCATCTCATCCATGGGTCACCCCCATACCTGCATGTGTATGCCCCAATCCCCTCCATGTGTCTCCTTCCATCCCTCCATGTGTCTCCACCATCCCCTCCATGTGTCTCCCCCATCCCCTCCATGTGTCTCCCCCATCATCTCCACGTGTCTCCTCCCAACCTCTCCCTTTGTCTCTCCCCCATCCCCACCATGCATCTCTCTCCCACCTCCCCAGCCCCTCCATGTGTCTTTCTCCCTCCAGCCCATCCATGTGTCTCCCTCATCCTCTCCATGCGTCTTTCCCTCACTTCCCCATCCCCTCCATGGGTCTCCCCCCCAGCCTCTCCATGTGTCTCTTCCCCCCAGCCTCTCCATGTGTCTCTCCCCCAGTCCCTCCATTTGTTTCTCCCCCAGCACCCCAATGTGTCTCTACCCCAGACCCTCAATCTGTGTCAGAACTTACCTGTCAGATTGTCTTCAGCTCCGATTCTTCCACTTCCGGGTATACGGAATCAGTCTCCACCCTCTTATCTGACGTGGCTTTCTCACACCTTATATAGAAGCCGCATCAGAATTGAATTGCTTAGTTAATTTGAAGGTTACGTCCGTACTCCTTGTGCCGGCTAAGCTCCTCTTGTTGTTTCACTCGTGTACCGAACTCCTGGATTGTCTAACAGATTCCCTGTCATCTCCTATCCCTGATCTCGGACTGAATATCGCTCAAGCTTCTATCTCCAAACCTAAAGACCCGGACCGATTTAATGTTTATGCCTCCTTCTATATTACAGTGACCAGGCTTGTGGAGGACTACTCCCATCAATCCCATCAATCCAAAACAGGCTTATTCTATAAGCTTGGAATTGATTCGTTCTTATTGGACTTAAACCTGCTTGCTATCTATCGCCTGCTACAACAGCTGTTCTACAAATTGTTTCTGCTAAATCTCCTACTTTTGCTTTTGCATGTGTTTCCATGTGTCTCTTCCCCAACCCCTTCATCTGTCTCTCCCCCATCTCCCATCACCTCCATGTGTTTCCCCCAGCCTTTCCATGTGTCTCTCCCCCCTAACCCTTCCCTGAGTCTCTCCCCCCAGCCCCTCCTTTTGTCTTTCCCCCTGGCCCCTCCATGTGTCTTCCCCAGCCCCTCCATGTGTCTCTGCCCCCAGCCCCTCAATGTGTCTCTCCCCCCAGCCTCTCCATGTGTCTCTCCCCATCTCCTCCATGTGTTTCCCCCCAACCTCTTCATGTGTCTCTTCCCCCCAGCCCCTCCATGTGTCTCTCCCACAGCGCCTCCATGTGTCTCTCCCCCAGCTCTTCAATGTGTCTCTCCCCCTAGCACCTTCATGCGTCTCTCCCACATCTCCCATCCCCTCCATGTATTGGGCAGATTAGATGGTCCAAATGGTTCTTATCTGCCGTCACATTCTATGTTTCCATGTGTCACTCCCACACACAACTTCCATGTGTATTTCCCCCTATCCCCTCCATGTGTCTCTCCCCCATCCCCTCCATGTGTCTCTCCCCATCTCCCCAACCCCTCCATGTGTATCTCTCCAGTCCTCCATATGTCTCTCCCCTTTCTCCACAATGTGTCTCTGCCACCCACATCCCAGCCCCTCTATGTGTCTCTCCCCATCTCACCTCCCCCATGTGTCTCCCCTATCCTCTTTTACGTACCTGCTCACCTCATTGTAGCGTGGCTGAGCCACCGTGGTACCCGTTCTGACAGGAAGTGCTCTATCAGTCAGTACTTCCTGTTAGGCTGTGGTCCGCTCGGTCATGCTACATATGAGTGACAGGAGAGGAGCATTGTGCTGTGCACTCTCCTTCTGCCAGTCACCCAGCAACCGCACGCCCTGAAGTGATGCTCGCCCATGGTCACAGCTACAACCCCTGCAGCCATGGTACTTTCACCACTGCATACATATACACTGGCGCACAAACAGATGTATAGATACACCGATACTAATGGACTTCTGCTGGCTAGAGGTGTTGGGATTTAGGAGGCAGAAAGAGGTAAGGGAGCTATAAATTTAATAGAGGCTGGGTCAACGTACATGTTAAGGAGTAATGATGTACATCTACACATGGTTCTGTCAGCAATGTTATAATGACAGAGGCGGGGTTGTGCCGATAAGGGGGCGGAGTTGTGACAGAGAGGGAGTTATGATAAAGTAATTTAATTTTGGAGCGCTCTTTAAAAATTTCATATACCTAGAGTTGGTATGAATTTTTTTATATAATGCTGCTGACACACTCAATGTGTTATACCAATAACACATAAAACAGAATCAAAACATGAAGAAATATAGAAAAGAGTGGAGCAGTATAAAATAGACGTTTAGGTGATAAACCCAAAACCAAATGTTAATCATAAAGGTATTGCAGTAATACTCAATGTTCAGTAGATGGCTCCCAGTTAACACAGCTCACAGCACATGTGAAGGGAATACATAAAAACATATAATTGTGCAGATAGTTTAAAACAAAAAAAAATGCTTTTAACACCATCACTACTGTAGATAGAGATTCCCATAGGGAGAGTAAGGAGAGCAGGTATCTGTCATACAGTGATGGAACTCTGATATTGGCAAAGTATAAACAAATGTATTAAAAAACTCTGTGTTTAAAAATCAACAAACAAGCTGTCTCTTACAAGAGAAAGTGGTGAGTAGGCTTGGCATACGCCGTTACTCACTGCCCAGTTTTGTAAAATATGGAGGAGTTGGAGACACTGGTTCTGCAAGGCTGTTGTGTCCGGAGTATAATGGTCCGGCTTCAGTGCTGCCCAAGTGGTACAAGCATGGTGCTTCCGGGTATCCGTAGTCTCTGCCCCTTAATGACGTCAACGCGTTTCTCCGGTCTGTCCGGCTTTCTCAGGACAAGATGGAGTTATGTTGGTAATGGGACACTGTTTGCGGGTGGGGGCAGGCACGGTTGTATCTGCTTGAGCTGAAAGGAAATGCCCGCCTCCTGCTCACTTCCTCTCAGCACTTTATAGAATGTCAGTTTCTTGCACCCCAGTCCTCACTTGCAGCCTTGCATGCCACGTATTTCCAGTCATTAAAGAAGATACAAAATAAAAGTCTCTCCCACCGGTCTACCATGGAGGGATTTATTTACTTTACTACTGCTGATTATTTTTAGCTGTGCAGTAGGTTGGAGACAGTCTGAATTCCTGGCCTGGATTTTATTTCTCCCAGTTGTCTGTAAACTAAGGATTGGAGCACCGGCCTGCTTTACTCTCCGAATGCTTCACCCCAGGGCCCCACATCTAACCATGTTTTTTAATATGTTGCACACAACACATCATCTGCCATGACATCTAAAGGAAATATAGACTCCATCACAGACAACATCATGCACTTTATCACAGGACTTAGCAGAGTCTTCAAACCTGTGTGACCTTCTGTGCCCTAATGGTCCAAGCCAGCCAATATGGATGTACATGGGCAAAAAATGTAGTTTGGTTCGGTTCAAAAATTCTGATACGTAAACAAATTAGGCACTCCAGCCATTCGGCACTTCCGAAATTCAGGACTTCTGCAACTCGGTAGGGTTAGAGTTACATGTAGGGTTAGGGGTAGGGTTAGGTGCCCTGACTGCCATCACAACCACTTACACATCTATAGGGCTCCCAGTGCCAGGAATTAGCTTATTGGTCTAGATTCCTGTCATCAGTCACATAATTTTCCTTCCCTCTCTTGTTTTGCCACTTTTCAGAAATTTGACGCACTTTGGCAGTTCCGAAATTCAGCACTTCGGCAATTCCAACGTAGAAGACATGCAACCTCCTGATACACAAGGATGGCGGTAACCACCTTAGGCTGAAAACATGTGCCCATGCCCATGCCCATTCCATTTTCACACTCATTCTTCATGACTATCCTTTTCTTTTAATGCCCCAACCTCTATCCCACTAAATGCATCTAGGGGAATGTGCACAGTGTTAATGAAAACACTGCTCCTCTTTACTCCTGGAAAAATGTAAGCTGATAATAAACAAATGTAGCCATAATTAAGCTAATGTAGAACTCACTGCCTTCCAAACTTTAAAACCTTTAAAACTTCCAGTGAAATAAAGGTCATGTATATTGGCTTGTGATAAGGTCACAGTTTATTTTCCCATCAGGTTATCCATTATCTATGATGTTTACTTTCCTATGTTACCTACTTCCCCGCTGGAAAAAAAACTGTACAGTAATAATAAAAAAAAAACGTAAACACCCACAATTACCTGCATTCTACGCACTTCTTATATAGCTGCTAGGGAGAGAGCAGCCTCTATTACATAAAGCAGGCAACATGGTATCTGTCTGGAAGTGGGTCTTAGCTAACAGAAATTATTTCATCATCTTCCTTGCACCCTTGTTCCTTCTGCCCCTGCCACTTGTGGTGCCCTCTACGGTAAGTAGTCTCAAATGTGAAGCGAGAATTTGATCTTCCAATAAAAAAAGCAGTGTTTAACTAAAGCACTAAGTGGTCTCCAACCAGGAGATTGGAATATGTGAAGATAATTGCTAATTATACAGGCTTTGGTGTAAAAACAATTTCACGTATAGGTGTATTTTTATAAATAAGCTACTTCATTTGTTTAAAAAATGGCAGAATTTTCTTTTTTAGCTGACTGATGTTGTATTATTGGAAAAAAGAGGAATTGCGGGCACACCGGAACATGCATTTCTAAGTAGTGATGCTGCCATAAAGACCAGCATTTATCCAAAATACAGATTAGGGAACACCGCACAAAAAATATATACAGTTTTACATTTTGCAAGACTACTTAAACTCAGTTTAGCTTCAATTACAGCATATGGCAATATTGTGTTAAGCACATCACTACGTCACAGTATCCCAATATTGGTGGGACCTATACTAATTTTTAAAACAACAGCACATGGAGAGACAAAATAGTATAAAAACAGCCAGGTGCAAATCATATAAACACTCCCTCAAGTGCTTTAAATATTCAAATGCATATAGAATATAGAATGCACACTATAACAATCTCAAAAAAACTTTGCTTTATTATGTACAAAAAAGTACCCTTGATAAAGGCAGCCGGTTGGTGCCGAAACATTGGGGGGTTTGGTGACTCGTGTTTCTGTCTTGAGGCTTGTAAGAATTTTTGTGGTAATTTATTATTGTTTTATTGTATTTGCCCTTGCTTCTGTCACTTTGTTTATTTTTTCTTATATGTTTTCACTCTGGTACTTTTTTGTACATAATAAAGCTAAGTTTTTTGAGATTGTTATAGTGTGCATTCTATATTCTATATGCACCTATACTAATTTTAACATGTGAAATAAACAATCTTACTGCAATGCTTTCTGCCTATACTAATTTTAACATGGTAAATAAACATGCATACTGCAATACTTTCTGCCTAAACTAATTTTAGCATGGTAAATGAACATGCGTACTGCAATACTTTCTGCCTAAACTGCTTCCAGAGACTCTCCACAATTTAAGATTTTCTGTGGTCAACTCCTAAGGGGCCCCCATAGTGGATGTGTGGGGTGCTCAACCCAAAAGGAATCTGGTCTGGATTCCAAATCAACACAGAAAAGGGGGAAATGGGAAAACCTGGACAAAATTTCAAACTGCATTTTTTAATGTATTTATTAATTTTCTTTTTGGTGCGCTGGTCCTTAATTTGTATGATGTCGTATTATGTATTTATCACTGTGACCTCTTGACACCCCATGCAAGTTTATAAAATGATAACTATCAAAGCAACTGTGCCCAGAAGGGAATACACATATTTCTTCCATTTATGTTCAAAAATCATTTGCAAGCAAATAAAATGTGGTCTTTATGCTTGCTGAGTCCTTCCATACACTCATTTATTGAGAAAACATTTTATTAAGAAAAAAAGACTTATTGCAGTGGTATATATTAGTTATATACATTAGACCAGGGGTCGTCAACCTGGTCCCTACCGCCCACTAGTGGGCATTTCAGGATTCCAGGTGGGCAGCAACAGAATCCTCCCTCCATCCAGAGAGATAAACGCTGTATTCATCTCTCGCGCGGGTGTGTGCCCGAACATGCATGTGCCCCCGGAATGCCTGTGTGTGCACACATATGAATGCGTGCGCATGTACGAGCGCGTGCACTTGCGAACGAGCGTAACATGCCGGTATAGGAAGGGGAGGAGTTGGAGTAGGTAGGGGGATACACGATAGCATGGAGCGGAGTAATTGTATAAAAGGAGATAGAATGAGCAGAGTTCTTGCAGAATAGGAGAAAGAAGGAGCAGAGTACTTGTAGAATAGGAGAAAGAAGGAGCATAGTACTTGTAGAATAGGAGAAAGAAGGAGCAGAGTACTTGTAAAAAAGGAGAAAGAAGGATCAGAGTACTTGTAGAATGGAAAAGAAGGAGCAGAGTACTTGTAAAAAAGGAGAAAGAAGGATCAGAGTACTTGTAGAATTGGAAAAAGAAGGAGCAGAGTACTTGTAAAAAAGGAGAAAGAAGGATCAGAGTACTTGTAGAATTGGAAAAAGAAGGAGCAGAGTACTTGTAAAAAAGGAGAAAGAAGGATCAGAGTACTTGTAGAATTGGAAAAAGAAGGAGCAGAGTACTTGTAAAAAAGGAGAAAGAAGGAGCAGAGTACTTGTAGAATAGGAGAAATAACTTTATAAAGTTAAAAACATTACAAACATGCATAAAGTAGAAATAAAAAGATAACTGTAAGTACATTTATTGTTTTTAAACACCCTCCTTTCTAAAAAATATTCTGCACTTGCGCAAAAAACAACAACCGAAAACTGGTGGGCAGTAAGGAAATGTTTCCATCAAGAAAGATGCATTAGTGGGCGGTATGTAGAAAAAGGTTGACTACCCCTGCATTAGATAGATAACTTTAGAAGGTGTAATGTGATTATAGAAAGAGATTCTTTTCAGCTTGTGGATGTTTTCACCTGTTCTATATGTTCTAACGCAGAATGGAAAATATGTTACTGGAAGTGGATACATATACTACATAAGTGTAATCAATGAATGATTTATGTGTTTCCTAGCTCCATCATTTAAACAGTATTTGTTTTGGTCAGAGTACCTATTTTAGAGCAGAGTTCAGTTGATAGCTTATCGTTATACTGTCCAAATGAGCGGTTTTGATATGTTTTGATATGTTTTGATTTCTAGTTGGGTATACATTAGTTCTACACAGTTTCATTTTAGAGATCATCTCTCAACCTCAGAATAAGTTTACTGTAAAACTGCTTGAAGATATATTATTATTATTATGACTGGCATTTATAAAGCGCCAACAAATTCCGCAGCGCTGTACAATTGGGAAAAAGACAAACACAATAATAACAGACCGATACAACAGGTAGAGGACCCAGCCCGTGAGCTTACAATCTACAGGTTGAACTGGGGAGATGAGACAAGAGGTAGCAGAGGGATTTGTATGGGATAGCAGAGAGAGTTAATAGTATAACTGCAGCAGCTGATAGCATGTGAAGGGAATGAGGAGGTGATTGGCTATAGTTCCAAACAGCTGGAAGAGCATGCTATATAGTTAGAAGGAACGTGGGTGGGTAGAGCCGAGAAATTTTTTAATATAGGTTTGTTTTCTTAGTGTAAATCATGATGTAATCTACATACATGTTGTGGGGTCTATATGGTCTGACCATGTGCACATCTGAGTTGTTGCAAGCCGAAAGAAGAAAATACGATTTTGATAATGTTTGATTTACCTGTGAGAATTGTGTTTATGAGCATTTCAAGATGAGTGGCACTTTACTAATAGCATACCTCCGTCTATTTTAATTGATTAATGTAGGATGGATATTAACACAACAATCAGTAATCACCAAAGTGATTTTTACCCCTTTCACTACTAAAATTGTGTATAGACGTTTATTATTTTCATATGCTTTTTAAAACTAAATTTAGTCCCTGATGGCAGGCGCCTAGCTGAGTTCCAAGGTGGGCAGCGAGAGAGCGCTGATTTGTGAGCTCTCTCTGCTCAGCTCTCTTATTCCGGCTCCCAGCATCACCCAGCGGCGCGTGAGGGAGCTAAGCAGAGAGAGCTCACAAATCAGTGCTCCCTTGCCGCCCGCCTTGGAATTCAGCTAGCCTTGGAATTGGGCATGCCTCCCTCCCTGCCCAAGCAGCCCGGCCAGCAGCCCCACTGGACCCCGGGTAAATATTCCACAAACAAGTAAGGCATATAACCAGTACAGTACATATAAGCCCCTACTCTTTCTAGATGCAAACAACAAGATAATGTAATTGAAAGACAATAGCGTTAATACAAAACAATTATAATATTCAGGAACAAGCAAGAAGGATAGTCTTCAAATGTAAACATCCAAGGTATCCAGCGAAGCATATCACACTGAAAAAGAATGTGAAAATGCTTAGTGTCACAAATGTGTGAACAAATAGGTAAAACCCCTATTAGTAAATTAAGCATATGTATACATAGAAATTGTATTTCATCAGTCTAGAGTCCCAGTTATAACCATAATCTAGGCAAGCAAACCTCTACAAGAGTATAATATATATATATAAACGTAAGCTAAACACATCAACCTCAAACCCATAAATACAAACAATACACCAGTAAAACTAACCATGAACTACAGAAACAGGAATAAAATGAGGGAGGGAATGGTTTGGAAAATAATCGCCTCCTGTCATTATTAAAATTAAGATTATTAATACACAATGCTAGTATAATCTTCAATTTTACCACATAAGAGGAGGCTTCCTATTTAAAATTTTTAACGCTGAGTCTAAACTAAAAAAACTCAGTATTATCAGGTTGGAAATAGAACGTACGGAACTTCTCTTCCCGGGACCAGTCTGCCGCTCGTAAGATATCAACAAGTGAGGAGCCAGCCATCAAGGCTGCTGATGTGGCCGCTCTGCGGAATGGGCGCCAATGGAGGCATCAATGTCTGCTAGCGAAGAAGCCAGAGTATCCATCTACCCAGTGTAGTAACGGATACTGCTTTAAATGACAGGACGTAGGATACAAGAAGTTGTCCCATCGAGGAGGAACGCACAGGTGAAGTAACCCCCTTATAACAGCGCAACGCGGAGACCACACAAAGTAGGCCCACTGAGACACATGTCTGCGCGGGTCCGATATCACCTAGACTCACGCAAAACCAAAATGTCCGCCACAATCTCGTAAGAGGCAGGATCCTAGATGGCCATGCCGGAGCGTGAAAATCAGCATGGCCAAACGCTGCCGAACGTCGGTGCGATCCGTCTGAACCGTGGAGAGAAATTCCCGAACAGTAATTAGGTTAGAAAAACAGTAATTAAATATAAGACACAAAGGGTTAAGGTAAAAGAAAACATATTATCCTGCACAATAAAACAATCATGGAAGAGAGCAAATACTCTGACCTGACTTGTTGTGGAGCAAGAAAGAAAGAGGAGGTGCTTAGATGTACTGTATTTGTTATATGGCTTACTTGTTTTCGATTGGTTCTCTGTTATGTTACTTTGCTGCTATGCAAAATATGAAGCCTCCAGTCATGTGGTAAAATTAAAGTAAATGTCCAGGCCACAGAACAGGACATTCTGAACCTGTGGCAGGGAGTCACTGCTATGCAGGAAACAATACAGCACATGCAGACTACTCAGAATAACATAGATCTGAGGCCCACCCTACTGAATGAGAGACGCGGGCGGTCTAATCTTGAAATAAGGGACATCCCAAAATCCGTCAAAAGAACTGCCTCACTATTTAAGGTGCTTCACTGCCTCCCTTCTCCCAGTCACTTAAGTAAAGAAAATAATACATGATGGCTGCTAAGGGATCAATAAATCATCAAATGCCCCTGAATTGGCTACATGTGACATCCTAGTGAGATGTCAATCGCTCCTCGACAGAGGCCGCCTCATGTCGGATGCTACAGGGAAATACACCTTATCACTTCAAAATCTCAACTCTCACATTCTTCCAAAACCCTGGGCCTCAACACTGAATCGCAGAGCCTCTCTGCCCTCTCCTGCCATGGGGGAGTGGGAACCAAAGAGAATAACCATTACTTTTAAATACATTTAGTTTCCATTTTCCTATTGCCTTATTGTTCCCTACCCATATATTTCCCAATTGGCTCCCCACATATTTAGTGCTTCATCACCTTTTGGAGCGCATTGAGCGCTGACATATTATTTATCTCTCTGCCCTGGAGCCCCCTAGGCTAGGGGTCAAACCTCTCAGTTGAGTTGCATATCCCGTGACAATGGTACCAGTATGTTTACGCTAAAGTTAACTCTTTATTGACTATCCCACGTGCAATTTAAAACAAGCAGACCAGAACAGGTACTCACTACCCCACTAGTCCTGTTTCATGGATTGTTTTATTTACATAGTTCCTTATAATCTAGAGCACCCGATTGTTAATTTTCGGCTCAAGTTACTGTCCCTAGTCAGGTGGGAAGGTTTGACCGTCCCCCCATGTAAGGCTGTGAGATGGCGCCTCTAGGGATGCAATCCCCCTAGAAGTCAAGGATAAAATCCTGAAGGGTGAGTATGTAGATGTGTTAACTCTGGTATCCGCCAACTGGGAATCCGTGGACAGGCTGTGGCGTGGGGACGTGGTGGATGGTGAGAAAGGTAAAGTTTATGGTGTATGTGAGCATCATGCTGCAGAGTTTCCCGGAGAGGGGAGTTTGGGTATGTGGATCTGATTTGGGGGGCATATAAGGTTCATGTTGGATAATGCTGGTTCCGCTACGGCCAACTATTTCACCAAAAGATGACAGTCACGGGATGGATTTTGGGGTGCAGGATGGCAGCTTGTGGCTGCTGTTGATGACCCTCTCGAGACCAACCGCCTTTTCAGGTGGGGCCAGGGGACCGCCCGGTGTGTCAGCAGGAACATTTGCTGGCTCTTTAATGAGAGCCACTGCAAGTGGTACGGAACTTGCAGGTTTAGGCATGAGTGCTCCCATTGTGGAGGAGCCCATCCAGCAGTGCACTGATTCAAGAAAGGTAAGCAGTCAGCGTGCAACCAGCGATGATGTTCCTTGGGCTGAGGACGCCGGTGAGCATTTGTGGCTTGACCGGTATCCTAACCGCCGGGCAGCCAAGATTTTGTTTGAGGGTTTTTCCATGGAATTCTGGATTCAGTTTGTGTATTTAGATTCCCCCCTCACTATCTGGTAATTTGAAGTTGGTGGTGGGTAAGGAGAGTATTTTAGTGGAAAAGTTGGAGTAGGAGGTACACATGGGGCACATGACTGGTTCTTTTGACAGTCCATCCTTCCCCAATTTACGAGTCTTTCCATTGCGATTGGTGCCTAAAAAGGATCCAGGGGCTTTTTGTCTGATCCACCACCTGTCCTATCCGGCCGGCGAGTCCGTGAATGATGACATTGATAAAGAAGTGTCCAGAGTTTGGTACGCCTCTTTTGACAGGGCTCTTGAATTGGTTTGGGAGGCTGGGGCTGGAGCCCTGCTTGCTAAGTCGGATATTGAGTCCGCTTTTCAGCTACTTCCGGTTCATCCGGATTGTTTTTATTTATCAGGTTGTCAGTTTAATGGTTCTGTCTTTTTTGATATGTGTTTGCCTATGGGCTGTGCTATACTTTGAGATGTTTGCCTCATTTCTGGAATGGGTAGTAGCTCAGGTCACTGGCTGTTCATCTGTTACTCACTATTTGGACGACTTTTTGTTCGGCTGCACTCGGGGGTCGGACATGAGTGTCCATGTCTTGGAGTCATTACGGCACATCACGGCAGAGTTAGGGGTTCCACTAGTGGAGGAAAAAACGGTGGGACCAGTGAAGGTCCTGTCTTACCTGGGTATAGAGATTGATTATAGGTGCATGATATTTCGTCTCCCAGTAGAAAAGTTGGAGCAGTTGCCCCGCTTGGTCGATATGGTGAAGGGTGCCAAAAAAGTGCAACTGCGAGAGCTGCAGGTGCTGTTGGGTCAGTTTTGTTTCCTCAATGTGCCCTTGCTAGCTAAATATATACAGCAGGGGGCTCAGGAAAACATAGAAGAGCAATTGACAAGTGGATAGGAAACAAAATCCTGCCTATGAGCTTTATGTGTGTATGAGTATATCATATGTGCAGAGTGCATGTATATATCCCAAAGCTCATCCATATTTGAGTGTTATAAGTGTGGGATGTGTGTGACTGTTTGTCTAAGTGTGTGAGGGTAGATAAGAGTGATGTGTGTGGGATTTAAGTGAGGCTGGCTGAGAGTGATTGTTTGGGGATTGGTCGAGTGTGATTCTGTTAGACTGAGTATAAGTGTCTGGGGGTTGTGTGATTTTAATTTAAATTTAAAAAAAATGATGCAGTATTCAGATTTTTTCTCATCTTTTGCTTCTTTTGCACTCTAAAATTTCAGAACACCCAATAATATCCCCCACAGAGCCATACAAACACACATACACTCAGTCATACATACACATATGCACAAGCATACAGACACAGTCATACAGACACACTCGTATAGACACACATAAACAGTCCTACAGACGCAACAACAAAGTCATACAGACACACATATACACATTCATACATTCACACATGCACAAACACATAGTCACACAAACACATTCATACAGACACATACACACACATTAAGACACACATACTCAGTCATACAGGTGTACATACACACATTTTCATACAGGCAAACATACTCAGTCATACAGGTGTACATACACATTTTCATACAGGCAAACATACACAGTCATACAGTCAAGCAGTCATACAGACATGTACACATTGTTATGTTTTGACAAAGTTTGGATATTTCTTTTATTATTGCAGCTCTACTACACATTCATCTGGTGGCATGGGAGTCACGAGTATCAGCTTGTATTAGTTCTACACATAGCTCATCATGACCCACTCTGGAGTGACATCACTCATCTCTAAAGAGTGAGCCGCCCAAAACTGTACGACTCTGTGTGGTATGGCGGGGTAGATGGCAGGCTGGATGCCTTGTATTTCAAGGTGTAAAGTGATATGTGGGTGTATTGCAGGGGTCAGGCCTACGGGGCAATGGATTGCCAACAACTACTTTAATATGTTCTGCCATTTCAGCCTTAATCACTGCTTTTATATTGTGTAACTATATACCTAAGGTTTAGAAATCAGTAAGAGAGCAATCTGCAAAAAGGTAGATAATAACGTTACACTAAATAATACACATAATACACGTATTTATTTATTCACTGCACTAACCAAACTCTTAGAATAATGAACCTTTATGCAACATTGCAGGTAGTATGAACTTAAATCTGACTTACTTATAGACTTTATCACAGATGCCTCTAAAATAATAACAGCCCCTTAACAATCTGAACTTACAGTAAATGTTTTCCTATATTACAAGCCTATAGCTTGGACGCTGTTGATCAAAATATTTTAAAAAGGAAGGTCAATAACTCAGATGCCGATGATCATTTGCCGTCAAGAGGCTCATGTCAACTATAAGGGTCTCTCAACAATAGGGGTAACTTTCCCACCAAGTGTTTGTCAAGCTCTACGGAAAATCTAGAATAAGTGAAGACTACGTCAGTTCTAAAATCCTAATGGTTTGCCTCGAAGAATCATATCTTAAATGTTGAGTGAGTGCACGTAAGGTCAGTGCCTAATAGACCGTAGGTGCAGAAAATGTTTGGTCTTTGTTAAATTAGTGCAAAATTATTTTGTGCTGGTGATCGGTGAACAAATCGATTCCAAATTATTTAACCTTTAATGGAGATTTACCAGAGGTTTGGAATTAACAGGCGTTTTGTTTGGACAAATAACAAGTAACACATTTTTGCACAAAGCCTTGTCTTTGTGCAAAGAACTCTACTGCCAAGAGTAAAGAGCTACCTTTTTCTATGGCTATACTGGTTATCAGCCTCGGACAGATGAGCAAGTGTTCTGTAAATAATCACATCAGGTAAGGTGCTACTCTGTTCAGGATGACTAAATATGAAATCCCATTTGACTGGCGCCAGGGAGTTATGTCTGTCATGTTCTGCTTTTCTCGTTTGCATGTGTCAGTATGAGTAACAGTGGTCATGTTGGAACATCTTTTGCTGCTATTTTATCCTTGACAGAGCAGGATTAACAATTATGTGAACTTAGGCAGTCGCTTAGCGTCCAAGGGTTAGACAGGAACCATGATTTTGCTTGACCCCATTCACCTCTTTTATGTAAAGAATAAAGTTAGGGGGGGGGGGGGCGCAAACCAGTAAACTGCATTGGGTCCTGTTGGACTCAAATCCTTCTCTTGTACTTGATTTCATCTGCCAAGATCACTAGAAAAAGTTGTTCATAGGTCTGTCTGTAGAACATATTAGTGCTCACTTAAGAAGCAGAGGTGCAGAATTCTAATGCACAATCCTAGCAGACCTCACTCTTGTCTATTCAACTGAGATCTGTCAGCTGGTTTGACTCTGCATGGGATATCAAATATTAAAAAGAATGCGCCAATGAATAACACAGTTATATTTTATGGGTATGCTATTGTCCCATATAAGATTTGCCCATGCCAGTGTACAGCCAATAATGAGGGAGACCATAAAACCTGACCTTAGATAAATAAAAATGAGTAGAACCCTTGTTGAAGAAATGTACACTGTTATTGGGATTCTTCTGCATAGTGTTAGGGAGCCAAAGATTCTACTACTAAATTTGATGATACCTGTAGTAGCACTCAGGGACTCTGGGGGCAAAAGTACAGTAATAGGTAGAATGTATACAGATAGGGAGAATAGAATTGTCTCACAAATTTGATCTTGGGGAATCTACTTTGAGTGAGTTCTGGTAACAAGATCTACAGTATCTGGGAGAGTTGTGCACATGTACATGTCAGTGGCGTACAAATGACCCATGGGGCCCCGGTGCGAAAATTGATCCGTGGCCCCCCCCCGCGCTTACGCAACACTTTCACTGACAAACACACACTCACTAACAGACATCAAACACACTCAGTAACAGACACACACAGTAACACACTCACTAGCAGACACACACCCCCAATAACAGACACACTCACTGACACACACACTAACACACACACACACTCACTCACACTCACACACACACACTCACACAAACACACACTCACACACTAACACACACTAACACACACACACACACACTAACACACATTTTTTTTTAATTTAATCCCCCCAGCCTCCTTACCTTTTGGAGAACTGGGGGGATTCCCTGGGGTCCAGTGGTGCTGCTGGGCGGGCTGGCTGTCTGGGTGGCCGGTGCGCGAGGGAGCACTCTCCCCTGTGTGCTTCCTCTTCAGCTCCCTCGCGCGCCGCATAGGGATGCCGGCGCCGGAAGATGACGTAAGTCTTCATCAGATCGTAAGGGCCTAGACGGGACATACTTGTGTATAAGGGAGGATAGATAGGTGGGAGCAGAATTATGTAGAAATTTGAAAGCAAGAACCAGAATTTTAAATTGAGCTCTATATTTTATAGGAAGCCAATGTAGGGACTGACAGAAGGGTGAGGCATGGGAGGTGCGGGCGGACAGGAAGATGAGCCTCGCCGCCGCATTCATTATGGACTGTAACGGCGCAAGTTGGGAGCACGTAAGACCACTGAGAAGCGGATTACAGTAGTCAAGGTGAGAAAGGATAGTGGAATGGACCAATACCTTAGTCGCATCTGGCGTTAAGTAGGGGCGGATGCGCCAATGTTTTTGAGATTGAAATGACAGGATTTGGCGATAGATTGAACATGAGGCTTGACGGAGAGGTCGGAGTCAAAGAGAAGACCTAGTCAGCGAGCCTGCGTGGTGGAGCTGATGGTAGCACCGTTGACTTGGAGGGAGACAGACAAAGGAGTAACAACACTTGAGGGAGGAAAGACCAGAATTTCAGTTTTTGTCAAGTTTAGTTTAAGGAAGTGGGCAGCCATCCAGTTAGAAACAGCAGAGAGGCAGTCAGAGACACTAGTCAAGAGGGACGGGGAGAGATCAGGAGAGGACAGGTAGATTTGCGTGTCATCTGCATAGAAATGATATTGGAAGCTAAAAGGAGCTAATGAGTTTACCAAGGGAGGCAGTATAGATGGAGAACAGTAGGGTACCAAGGACTGAACCTTGGGGGACACCAACAGAGAGGAGTTGGGGAGAAGAAGCAGAGCCAGAGAAATAAACACTGAAAGAGCCTGGGAGAGGTAGGAGGAGCACCAGGAGAGAGCAATATCTTGTAGACCGATATTGCGGAGGATGAGAAGAAGCTCTTGATGATCAACAGTGCCAAAAGCCTTAGGTCAAGGAGAATTAGGATAGAGTAGTGACCACAAGATTTTGCAGCGAGTAGATCATTGGATACTTTGATCAGTGCCGTTTCCACAGAGTGCTTAGCGCAGAAAACAAGACTGAAGCGGGTCTAGCAGAGAGTTGGACTCGAGAAAGTCTGTCAATCTCGCATACACAATTTTTTCAAGGATCTTGGATGCAAAAGACAGTAGCGAGATAGGACGATAGTTGGATGGGGAGTTAGGGTCAAGATTGGGCTTCTTTAGAATTGGGGTTACAGTTGCATGTTTGAAGGGCAATGGAAATATACCAGAGGAGAGAGAGAGAGATTGAGAAAATTAGTGAGAGGTGGAGAAAAAGAAGAAGAAGACAGAGTACAGATGAGATGCGAGGGAATTGGATCTAGGGAGCAGGTGGTGGGGCGGGAGGACTGGAGCAGAGCAGAAACCTCTTCCAATGTAGCGGGTGCGAATGAACATAGAACAGCAGAGGGAGTGAAGTTAGGGGAAGTATTGTAAGGGGAAGAAGAAAGATGAGAGATCTCTTCTTTGATTGTAGAGATCTTGTCAGTGAAGTGAGTTGCAAAGTCTGAGGCGGTCAAGTTAGTAGGCGGAGGAGGAACAGCAGGGCGAAGAAGAGAGTTAAATGTGTGAAATGGTCGTTTGGGTTCGTGGGAGAGTGTGGTTATGAGGGTATTGAAGTAATTAACTTTTGCAGAGGAAAGAGCCAAGCTGTATGAGCTCAGCATAAATTCATAGTGTAGAAAGTCAGATGCACAGTGAGACTTTCTCCAACAGCGTTCAGCAGTTCTGGAGGTATCGAGTGAACTTGGTGTGCCAGGGTTGTTGTTGGGGGGGCCTGCAGCGTTTAAATGTACAAGGTGCCATGATGTCTAGTTGAGAGGAGAGGGTGGAATTGTAGAAGGAGGTTGCAGAACTAGGACAGGTGAGGTTTGAGATAGGTAAAAGGAGAGTTTGGAGATTAGTGGAGAAATGCTCTAGGTCAAGACATTGGAGGTTTCTGTGAGAGTGATGTTCAGACGGTGGTGTCAATTGGGTCTTAGGTATGCCAATGTCAAAAGTCAGCAGATGGTGGTCAGATAGAGGAAAAGGAATATTGGAGAGATTAGAAGCAGTACAGAGGTTGGTGAAGGCAAGATCAAGAGTGTTTCCTGCTGTATGGGTTGCTAAATTGGACCATTGCGTAAGGCCAAAGGAGGAGGTTACAGAGAGCAGACGAGAGGCATCAGTGCAATTGGGGTTATTGATTGGGATATTGAAATCCCCAAGTATAAGGGAAGGAGTGCTAGATGAGAGGAAGTGGGGAAGCCAGGAAGAAAAGTGCTCAATGAATAGTCTAGGACAGGGGTAGGCAACCTTTTAGCAGCACTGTGCCGATATAGGATTGTGATGTCCCGTAGCGTGCCGGTCCTATTTTTTTTAAATTGAGGTGTGTATGCTGCAGTATTTTGCTTGTGTTATTTATACTGTAATTGCTTTGTATATTTGTATTTGTGTGTATATGAGCTATTATATTGTATATGTTCAGGAGTAGTTTGTGGTATCGTGTATGATACATATGAATGTGGGCTGTGTATTGGGGCAGCTTGTGGAATTGTGTGTGGATGGATATGTCACATCATGTGTTTGGTAGTGTGTGTATGTGTGGGGTATTGCATGTGAGAGGCTGCATGTGGGGTTGTGTGCATGTATGTGGATTGTTAGCGGGTTAGGTTTGTGCGGATTGTGTGTATGTTTGTGGGCTGTTCGTATTATTTGTACGAGGGGAGGGTTATTGTGCATTTCTGTGTATATCTAGCAGTGTGGGTGGCTTCCCTGGGTTCCAGTGGGGTCCAGGCTGGCCAGGTACAGGTGAAGGGCAGGAGCTGCAATATCCGCTGTGGGCTGCTCTACCACAGTGTGGATTCCCATTCACAAGTGCTGGGAGGAAGGGACTGAGATCACTTACACTATGTGCTGCAATGCATAAATTGAGGATTGTCCTTTTCGTATTAACAGATATCTGAAGTTTCACTGGGACTCCTGATAGGCCAGAGCCTGTTTGGCTCTAGCAGCCTTGAGTGCCGTGCAAAGACACCTTGAGTGCCGTGCATGGCACTAGTGCCATAGGTTGCCTACCCCTGGTCTAGGATAACCGGGGGGGCGGTAGATGATAGTAATTCTTAAAAGGAGTGGGTTTAAATAGGCGGACAGTGTGAACTTCAAAAGAAGAAAAGGATAGGGCAGGGGGAGTTATGATTGGTTGAAAGGTACATTGAGGGGAGAGAAGGATGCCTACGCCGCCTCCTTTACAGTTGAGTCTGGGAGTGTGAGAGAATTGTAGCCCACCAAAACATAAAGAGGCAGGAGTAGCGCTATCAGAGGGGGACAGCCAGGTCTCTGTAAGTGCAAGCAGTGTGAATGAGTTTGAGATGAAAAAGTCGTGTATGGTTGTTGATTTTAAATTACTGCAGATGGAGCGGGCATTCCAGAGTGCACAATTAATTAGCTGGTGTTAAGGCTTAAAGGAGTTTGTCTAAGCATAGCTTAGGAGATATTTACTTTCTATGTATTGAGTATCTGGGAGGTACACACCACTGCATACAATAGTATCAAAATTGCATTACCTTATTTCTGAGGGACGTTTCAATCAAGGCATTTAAAAGGCAATGTTTTACATGTATATGGCTATAAATATGACTACAGTATATGTGGGTCTTAAAACATTGCTATTGAAATCAGTGTTCTATTCTTATTGACAGGAAGCAAACTGTGGATTCATAATCATCATCATGGCATTATATTGGTGTTTTGAAGCTCTCCCCTTGGCTGTTACTGCTCTCCTACCAGTTGTTCTTTTCCCCATGATGGGCATCATGGATTCCACTGCGGTAAGTTCACTCATCCAAAGTCTGTTGTCTTTCTCTTTGAATTTATCTTGACATTTTAGACATTTTCTTCATTCTTGCCATCTAGGCCAAAAAAAATTGATCCTGTTTTTTCTTGCCTTACCCATGCAACCAAAGATTCCCTGGACTTTTCCCATGAGAGATTAAAAACTCTGTAAACGCCTAAAATATGCAAACCACGTGCTGGGCCACCCCGTGGCCATGTCACATATTAGTGTATTCATATTGGCTGGAAAGAAACAGAAAAATATTCACTGAATAATAAAGTATTTTCTACCTAGGGTCTCTCCTCATCAGGGCTAGCATCAGATATTGTGTGACCTATTACCCCTTATTATGCACTGTCAAACAATCACAGAGACACACATTCACATACAAGCATAAATAACACACATAAATCCCATACAGATATACTTTACTAGACACACACTTCTCCCCAAAAATATAATGTACACACTCAGATACTGAATGGCATACATGCACAAAAGATACACACTAAAATATACACTAAGATACACACACACACAGATGCATATTGCCACACATTTTGCCATTTAGATACACAATCACATATACAAACACAGATACATACTGGAGTATGGCTGGAATAGTTTGTTGATGTCTGTCTACACTGGATCCAGTTGGAGCTGATTCCGGTCTCCCTCATATAGCTCTGGTAGGAAATTATTCAAATTCCTTCTTCCCAGCTCAGTGTGGCAATACAAAGGGTAGAGTTATCCAAGGCACTTGGTTCATCCAAGCCTATGCAGCTGCTTAATGCGTGAGCTGGTTTGGAGAGGTATTTCTATCACACAGCAATAAAGGGAACCATTTGGGCCTTAGTGCTCAACGAGGCCCCTGAACACAGTATATAACAAACAAAACAGGCTGTGCCTAATCACAGAAAAATGCTGTATTTATGTATAAAAAGTTGTGAGAGTCCGAACGACACATTCCAGAATTTTGAGTAGTCACCAAATTGACCTTTCTTTCCGTGGGTACCTATAAAAACAAAAAACAAAGAAAAGAACCAATGGTGCAATATTTCTCAGTAGCAAAGACGTGTAAATTTCCCACTCACATGGTATGGAGCTTCAAACAATTATACTACTGCATGCTATCGTGTTTTAAGCTTGTTTGAAGCTCCATACCATGTTAGTGGGAGATTTTAGGGAACTATCACTCAAAATACTTATTTTCATCTTCCTACTCCATTACTCTAATTTTGCTCGAGGGCTAGATTTGCATCTAACCCTGCAGCCTTTTCTTCCAGTTAGTGGGAGATTTACACATAATTGCTGTGTGTCTTCAGCTACTGAGAAATATTGAACTATCAGTTATTTTCTTTGCTTTTTTTCAACATGTATGCATGGTTTAAAGATCAAACTCTGTAAGAAGCAAGGTCATTTGGTGACTACTCAAAATTCTGAACTGTGTCCTTTGTACTCTTTCATAAAACAGTATTTTTCTGCTATTAGGAGCATCCTGTTCTGGTTTGTATTTTGTTTTTCTTGTGGAGTACTGAGGGAGTTACCCTTGTTCAATGTTTGCTGCTCTAGGGAATCTGCTGTTTGGTCTATTAGTGCATGATAATCTTGTGTATATTGCCCTGAACACAGTATGGCTAGCTTAGTACATACCAGTTATTTCAATGAGTCTTCAGTCCATGGTCCATGGTCGAGGGCGTCACCTGGCTCTTGAAGAACAAGGTTAGCCCTGTAGAATGAATGAATATTGCTGCTTAAAGGACCACTATAGGCACCCAGACCACTTCAGCTTAATGAAGTGGTCTGGGTGCCAGGTCCATCTAGGTTTAACCCTTTTTGCTGTAAACATAGCAGTTTCAGAGAAACTGCTATGTTTACCTATGAGTTAATCCAGCCTCTAGTGGCTGTCTCATTGACAGCCGCTAGAGGTGCTTCCGCTCTTCTCACTGTGATTTTCACAGTGAGAAGACGCCAGCGTCCATAGGAAAGCATTGAGAATGCTTTCCTATGAGACTGGCTGAATGCGCGTGCGGCTCTTGCCGCGCATGCACATTCAGCCAATGACAGAAGAAGAGGGAGGAGAGTCCCAGTGCCGAGGGAGCCCGGCGCGGGAAAAGAGGTAAGGGTTTAACCCCTTCCTCCCCCTTCAGCGCCATGGGAGTGGGACCCGGAGGGTGGGGGCACCCTCAGGGTGCTATAGTGGTCCTTTAAGGGTCTTCCTGCTTTATTAATGTCCCTTTATAATATGTCAGGACAGTCAGGGTATTTAGAGACTTTTCACATTCTTTAAAACAAAGGTGTCAGAACAAATAGCTTGAAAGAGGAATTTACTGTGGCTTTCCAATAGACTAATCTCTTTTCATTATTTAAACAGTGCATTAAACACAGCTTTATTCCAATTATATATTGAGTCATTGATGTATAAGTAGATTAATTCTCAGACATATCTCATCTTGCTCTCTATAGGGGAATAATTATTTATTGCAAACACAGCTGCACATAATAAATTATCTCTAGCTACTTCTATACCAGTTAAAATTGGCCCTCTACAGAGGCATTTCTCATTTATCATGTGTTTCATCACAGGTCTGACCTTTAACCAGACAAACAAAAAGAGGAGCTTATACTGTCGTGCAGGGAAAAGGAAGGAGTAATAGCCCATAGGTTAATTGGACAACAACACCAAAAAAACAAACAAACAAACAAACAAAAAAAACGTTCCCACACACAAAATCCCTCAAGAAAGATTTAAAAAACTTAACTTTTACTATGATTAGCAAAACCCAAAAAACAGATTACAATAATCACTTTAAAAAATCTAGTTTCGAGTAAATTAATATTTAAAAACAACCTACAGCTATTGCTTTGGGAATGAGTGGAACCAGCAAAAGAAATACAGTCTATTTAAATCAAAGGCGATAGAATGATGTAGAAAAATAATGAATATAAAATGTATTCAGCCACTACAAAGTCAGTGGCAACAAAGCATAATACCAAATAGATATTATGTTAAAGGAGCACTATAGTGCCAGGAAAACAAACTAGTTTTCCTGGCACTATAGAGTTATTAGGTCCCCCCCTCCCTCAAGACCCCTTTCCCGCTGGGCTGAAGGGGTAAGCCACTTACCATAATCCAGTGCCGGGCTCCCTTGGCGCTGGTGACCTCTCCTCCCCATGCCGATGTTAGCTCTGAATGCGCATGCGCGGCCAGAGCCGTGCACGCATTCAAACCGCCCATAGGAAAGCATTACGCAATGCTTTTCTATGGACGTCAGCGTGTCCTTAATGCGATTTTCAGAAGCGGCCTCTAGTGGCAGTCAGGGAGACAGCAACTAGAGGCTAGATTAACCCTCAATGTAAACAGCTGCAGGGTTAAAACTAGGAGGACCTGGCACCCTGACCACTTCATTGAGCTGAAGTGGTCTGGGTGCCTATAGTGATCCTTTAATGCCATAATGCTGGCAAAGCATCAAGGGAGATGTAGTAAACAGTGTTAAACCACAGATATCTTAATACACAAATTAATGCAAATAGCTATAGAGAGGAACCAACACCGAAAAAATAAGGAAATGCAGAAAAGTATACGGATTACAAAAGTATAGATTTCTGATTGAAATGAAAGCAAGCAAATACATCTGGCTCTTTATCTAAGCTTAGCTGGTGGACATTCCACTGACAGTCTGATTTGAGACTTTTGTAAGCCGAAAAATACCAGTATGATAGATTGAAAAAGTAATCAAAGTGCTAACATCAAAACTTACCAGATAAATAAAAGCAATGATTTTAAGAAAGTAAAACATAGAGTGAATTAAAACTGCATCGCTTTATGGTGATCTTTCCAATGGTATTTAACCAACTACCAGGCAGAAACACATGCACTTATCAGGATTGGTAACAGAATGCAGCTGTCTTATTAGTAATAATAGTGTATTTAATCACATCATTTATCACCCTGCAAGCTGCAGAGATAACTATTTTGGATTGAATGTCCACTTTATTTGATAAAGCTCAATAAAAATTTTACAAAATTCACATGACTGAGAATGATACCTACTGCAAGATTTTAGAAAGTGTCAGTATCTGCAGGCCAGAGAAAATCATAGAAACTAAATTTCATCAGGTTTTTGGGTGATCTGTGATTAGTCTTAATTCCTAACTCTGAATCTCCATATGACTGAATCACCACGGGTAACGGATGAGTAATTTTGTTTATTTTGTGAGTTCCATCCGTGGTGCCAGAAAAAGGGGGAAGGAATGGAGATGATTTTTTTTGTAATTGCAGTACAATCATTTTTCGAGAAATAATTTCATGGGAAATTTGTCCAAACTGAAATGCCAGCTAGATGAAATTGGGTTCGACTGAACCAATTTTTTTATTTTATTTTTTGGACAAATCAATTCGAAGTTGCCAAATATTTCTGCCGGCACAAGTCCAACAGAAACTTCTAACCAAGATAACCATATGCAGTATGTATATCTAAATGTCACCAGCACTCTTATATTATCATTTATTGATGTGGTGTCTTCAAATTCAGCATTGCTAGATACAATAACATGGATTGCAAGTCTTAAGTTACCAGACAAAAATCTCAGGCACTCACTATGACAGATTTAAGCAGGTTTATTGGACACCGCAACATTTCGACCTGTACCCAAGTCTTTATCAAACTTGATAAAGACCTGGGTACAGGTGGAAACATTGAGGTGTTTAATAAACCTGTTTAAATTTGTCATAGTGAGTGCCTGAGATTTTTTTCATTTTATACTTGTTCTTATGGGTTATGCTTTCCCATGCTCAGTTAGCACCCGGTGACGTTTATGATTGAGTGCAATCCTCCTTGCTTTTTTTTTTTTTATTTACCAGACAGACACAAACACAGTAGGGAAGCTTTGAGACCTTGGAAGCTTACAAATTTTTCTTCTTTATATTTCAGGTGTGCAGTCAATACCTGAAAGACACCAACATGCTGTTTGTTGGGGGGCTCCTGGTTGCAATAGCAGTTGAAAAATGGAATTTACACAAGCGTATAGCTCTGAGGGTGCTTCTGATCGTTGGAGTCAAACCTGCTTTGTGAGTTTTAGCAGTCAGTTGTTTTCCGATCTTTTCTCTTTCCAGGTTAAACAATGTCCACAGCTTTGTGAGGACAGAATGCAAATATTTTTTTAGTTTTATTTTGAGATCTTAATCGCCCCATTCCATGTTGCATAAGGGACCCTTAGTAGTTATGCAGAGTGCCATCTATCCACCTTACAATCATTTAAGTTGTATCACTAATATTATTACAACACATGTGGCCAACTAAGAGTAGGATCCATTGGTCCTTGTGACCTTGCTAATGTTGCAAAATGCTTAGAATGGTGGAATCTCACCAGTTCTAGAGCTAAGAACAATGAAGCCAGTTCAGACTTGCTTGAGGAGGTAAAATAGCTTGTTATGGGAACAATTCATTTGTTGGTGCTTTCAGCTGTAAAAGACTACACATACGATGCACCCAATGGTTTACAATCCAGATTATATTTTGTTTTTCTGGTCGCCCCCATGCTTATTAACTATTTTGCTTCCTCCACTCTTACCCATTTAGAAGTTTTCTACTGCTTTATCATTCTTGTAATTTTCCTCTTTATCTCCACCGTCTCCTAAATGATGCCAAATTCATACCCACTCTGTATACAATTCATGTACACATTCAACACACTAAAGCGCATGTCACGTTTAAACACATATAACATATATCTCACATAGGTCACACACATCCCACACATAATATGCCATCTCGTAGAGAACGATTATCCACAGGTATCCACAAAGTGATAACAGACGTGCATGCAATGTTGCTTTAGTGACAATGAATAAACCCCATATAGTTCCTTCGATCTCCTGGTCAAAGATCAAGGTAAGGCTGGGCTACTGCTGGATGTTTGACTGTTATGTCTGACAGGGAATGAACGATAAAGGTTACTGTGTTTGAAAAGTGCCCAAGGAATCGAGAAAAAAGTATCCTCTCTGTCAGCAATAAGTCAGCAAATTGAATTCATTAATACATGTTAGATCACTTGATGTAGTAATCTAGTGATCACTTGCAGGAGGACTGTAATTTTCTTATTTTTTTCTATTTAGTTACTGCAGGTAACATTTAGGGATGATTTAGATATTGATGTAATCAGGGGACATAGCCAAAAGCATGTTTTTCCTTTTCACTAGAAAGTAACAGAAAAATTGCAAAGTGTGCACACCAAATGCATAAAAGAAAAACATAATCAGTAATTTGTCCGAAGTTCATAATTTAGTGGCCACATAAAATGTCTAAAATACTCCATGGTAAATGGTATGAAAATAATGTGCCACAATAAATGTTATTTGAGTTATGGGGCTTCAACAAAATTAAAAAAATGTAGCTAAAAATGGATAGTTCCCTAATTTGGCTATATTTCATTCCAAAAACCATCAAGTCCTATTGCTATACTCCAAACATTATAATTTTTAGTTTTGTTTATTTAATTTACTGTAGAGTTAAAATCCAATCACATATTTTTTTTGTGATAAATTAAAATATAACCAGATAGTTTCACAGACATTAGTGATAAATTGTTCAATTAAAAGTATCAAAATGTCCCTAGATAAATATCCTATTTTTTGGAGCAGTTTAGGATTTGTTAACATATTTATTGTATATATTTTTTTACTTTTTTATATTAATTATAATAGTTAATGTTGTTTATATGTAATGAGCATATGTTATAGATATATAAAAAAAATATTTAGTTTAATTCTGGATCATGGTGTCATTTGTAATGTTGTGATAATCAATAAAAAGATTAAATTAAAAGCACAAACTTACAACTTCTCGTAAGTCACAATCCTGTTTCCTTTCCTTATAGCTTGATTTTGGGATTTATGATAGTAACAGCCTTCTTGTCTATGTGGATCAGTAACACTGCCACAACTGCCATGATGATCCCTATAGCCCAGGCGGTGCTAGATCAGCTTCATAACTCAGAGGAGAGGCTAGAAGAGAATTATTCGGAGAACCTTGGGGACACCTTAAAGAAGTCCATGGATCACCATCACTTTACTGAAATTGTGGAAGATGACATGAAAAATCAGCCATATGACATTCGACTGGAGAATTCCTCAGAAATGAAAGGGAAGGGCTCTTTAGATCTAGCATTAGTCATTCACGAGAAGGAAAGTGGATTTTCAACAGGTAATTTATTGCTTAAGAAACTCTCTGCATGGGCTACCACTTTCATTGTCAATGTTTGCTGCCCCCACTCTGCTGCCATGGTTGTTAGGTTTGGTAGGTGGACATGAATAGAACAAGAAGATTTCCTTCTTTCCACCACCTGGAATTACCAAGTCCTAGAAAACGCTATGGCACCTTGACCTCTTAGAACCCATCTTCGTAACTTCTGAAACCAAAATGTAAGTAGTAGAGAGGAATAATCCTATGATCATATCTTTCAAGGGACGATGATAAATAATACATGAGCAAGGGTACAGCATGTATCAAGGGAGTCAAATCCCATTAGCAGCTCCTACCTCACTACAGAACTCTTAACTAACTAAAGATGGCCATGCAATGTATATAAGTCATTAGCTTTGTATATCCGTACATTATTTATACATAACTGCAGTCAAATAGAATCCAAAAGTCATGTGACTAGTGCTAAAAGATACATGAGTGCTTAAAGGAATGCTCAAATCACGGTGACTAGTAAAGCCATATGTAGTGGTTATGGTTCCAAGAGTGCCCAGGTGTCTTGTTAGCATAATCTGTCAAACGGTTTTAGCAGATGTCAGTTTTATTCAATACAGGAAATCATTTAACTCATTCACTAACTGAGATCGCTCAGCCAATAAACAAATGTTAATATAGGCATCCATCTTCTCCTGCTTAAGAAGACCAGAAGCAGCGTGGGTGCCACAAGGGACCCAGGTATACATCAAACCATGCAAATATGGTGGCATGGCACAAGGGAACCTCTGGCATCATAACCACTACAGCCATAGTGGTTATGATACTGTCAGGGTACCTGTTGGTGATGTATCCAGGGAGGACATCCTCTCTGCTTAGGGGCTCCCTTCCCCTAGCATTTCGGCATATTCCGGCCGTTTTCGCGCCGGCCGCGCTAGCTCCTCCCCCTTTTATGACGCGACGGCTAGCGTCGACGTCATGACGTCGGCATTTGCATAAAGTGCCGGGAACCGCTATTCCGGACCTTTTGGGGGCGTGGTCTCTATTTAGGTTACAGGGTATTTAAAGGAAACCTTTACTACTGCTCATTGCCCTGTCGTGGTTCTAGCTTGCTAGTCACTCAGCGCGTTCTTTATCTTGTGTTTCCGGTTTTGACCCTTGCTTGTCTTTTGTCCTGTTGTCCTCTCCTCTCCTTTGACTCGGCTTGTATCTCGCTTACCTGTCCTCCGGCTCCCTTGACCTCGGCTTACCTTTTGACTATTCTTGCTTTGTCCTTACGTTAGTCCGGCCATTCTAAGGTCCGGTATACGTACCTCCTTCTGTGCGCACTCTGCGTATTGGATCCCTGTCAGTTTCCTGACATTACGACAGGGCCATGATGGATCCTGCAGGTGCTAGTCCTCCTGACCCCAGATTTGAGGCCATGGACCATAGAATGGACCAAATGGCTTTAGCATTACAAACTTTGTTGACACGCTCCAGTACCCAGTCTGAAGAAATACGTTCCACTGCTAGCCACTCGCTAAGTACTGGTTTGGAAGTAGCCACTGTAGGCGCATCTTCCCATGTCACGTCACCATTACGATATGGGGGTTCGCCTGATGCTTGTCGTGGTTTTTTAAACCAGATAAGTATACATTTCGAACTACAACCCCGGGCTTACCCCACTGACAGGGCTAAGGTAGGCTTTATTATAACCCTGCTAATAGATAAAGCACTTAGATGGGCCAATCCCCTTTGGGAGAATGACAATCCTTTAGTCTACAACTACACTGCGTTTGTCACGGCTTTTAGAAGAACCTTTGACCCCCCAGGGAGGAAGATTAATGCGGCCAGATCCCTGTTACGCCTTAAACAACAAGATAGGACCCTTGTAGAATATGCTCTAGAGTTTAGATCATTGGCAGCAGAAGTGAAATGGAACGAACAAGCTTTTATGGATGTTTTCTTGAATGGGTTGTCTGATGAAATTCTAGATGAAATTGCCACAAGAGAACTTCCGGAAAATTTAGAGGATTTAGTATCCTTCATTTCCAGAATAGATGAACGCATGAGACAGAGGCAGAACACTCGGGAAAGAGTTACTAGACTTCCTGTAAGACTCGCTCCCTCATTTCAGAACCCTGACTCCTATAATCCTACTCCACCAGAACCTATGCAAATAGGTAATACTCGCTTATCTGAGGCTGAGAGACAGTACAGGAGAAAGGAGGGTCTCTGTTTATACTGCGGGCTGAGAGGTCACCTACGTCTTAGTTGCCCTAATCGTCCGGGAAACGCTTGCACCTAAGTTCCCTTAGAGGACGGGCCTTGGGTGTTTCATTACTGTCCTCTATACATAATAAAAAAGACCATAGGCTTCTGATTCCTGTCTCTCTAGCTTGGGAAAAGGGGTTTATTGCTACGATGGCATTATTAGATTCTGGAGCAGCAGAAAGCTTTATAGACCAAACTTTTGCTAATAAGCATTGTATCCCATTCCAATTGAGAGATACACCCTTGGCCGTTGAGGCCATAGATGGTAGACCTTTATCTGAACCAGTAATATTCCATGAGACCGAACCCGTTAAGCTTACTGTTGGTATTTTCCACGAAGAGTTGATTTCCCTTCTGTTAATTTCCTCCCCGGCAGTCCCAGTGGTTCTAGGATATTCTTGGCTCAAGAGACACAACCCTCAGATTGACTGGGAGGGTGGAGAAATCGTTTCTTGGGGTATGGGTTGTAGGAAAGAATGTCTGCAGAGAGTTACTTCTGTTTGCCCCGTAAACTCTTATGCTAACACTTCTCAATCCACAGACGTTCAGATACCATTACAATATCTAGACCTCAAATCTGTATTTGACAAGGGTAAGGCGGATACTTTACCTCCCCACCGGTCTTATGACTGTTCTATTAAACTTTTCCCTGGTACTATGCCTCCCAGGGGTACGGTATACCCTCTATCCACCAAGGAAAACTTAGTTTTAGAGGAATATATCAAGGAGAATTTAGACAAGGGATTTATTAGAAAGTCTTCTTCTCCGGCGGGGGCGGGTTTCTTTTTTGTAGAAAAGAAAGACGGTACCTTACGTCCTTGTATAGACTATCGGGGATTGAACAAAATTACTATCAGAAATGCTTACCCTATTCCTTTGATTACTGAACTCTTTGACAGACTAAAGGGCTCGAGTATTTTTACTAAACTTGACTTAAGAGGAGCATATAACTTAGTGCGAATTAAACAAGGAGATGAATGGATGACAGCATTTAATACCCGTTACGGGCATTATGAGTATACCGTAATGCCATTTGGGCTCTGTAACGCCCCGGCCGTCTTCCAAGACTTGATCAATGAAGTTCTTAGAGAATTCCAACATGAATGTGTAATTGTATATTTGGATGATATACTAATCCATTCTAGAGATATTAATTCACATCATAGACAAGTCAGAAAGGTATTACAGAAACTTTTACAACATGGATTGTATTGTAAATTGGAAAAATGTAGCTTTGACCAGTCTCAGGTAACTTTCTTAGGTTACGTAATTTCCAAAGACGGGTTTATGATGGACCCGACCAAACTAAAATCGATTTTAGATTGGCCTTTACCTAAGGGACTCAAAGCCATACAAAGATTTCTTGGATTTTCTAATTATTACAGACGTTTTATTAAAGGGTACTCCTCTGTTATCGCTCCTATCACTAATATGACCAAACAAGGAGCCGATACCAAAACCTGGTCTACTGAGGCTTTATCTGCTTTCGAAACGCTCAAACAGTCTTTTGCCTCAGCACCTGTATTAGTTCATCCTGATACCTCTCTACCCTTTTTACTTGAAGTTGATGCGTCTGAAACAGGGATAGGCGCAGTGTTATCCCAACGACAAAGTTTAGATAAGCCGCTGCACCCATGCGGTTTTTTTTCCAAGAAACTATCACACACTGAAAGGAGATATGACATTGGTGATAGGGAACTTTTAGCTATCATTATGGCATTAAAGGAATGGAGACATTTGTTAGAGGGCACCGTCCTTCCAGTTACTATCTTGACTGACCACAAAAATTTATCGTATATGGGGGAGGCCAAAAGATTATCTGCCAGGCAGGCACGTTGGTCTATGTTCCTTACACACTTTAATTATGTGCTTACTTACAGGCCTGGTTCTAAGAACACTAAGGCAGACGCTTTGTCACGTCAGCACGAACCTACCACCTCTACAGAGGATACTTTGTTCCCTATTATTCCTGAAGTCAATATTATCGCCAACACCAATGTCAAAATACACTCTCCATTGCTCGCTGATATTCAGAACGAACAATCTCTTGCTCCCGAACGTACTCCTGTGGGCCGCTTGTTCGTGTCTCCCAAATTCCAAGTGGACATTATTCGCTGTTTCCACGATAGCAAGATCGCTGGTCACCCCGGCATCCACAAAACTTACTGTCTGATCTCCAAAGACTTCTGGTGGCCCGGTTTACGTAGGGATGTGGAAGACTTTGTCAAGGCTTGCAATGTTTGTGTCAGGAATAAACTTCCGCGGGATCTCCCTTGTGGTTTATTGCAGCCCTTAGTCGTTCCCAACAAACCTTGGGCTTGTTTGGCTATGGATTTTATTGTTGATCTACCAGCTTCCAATAGGCATACAGTTATCCTCACGGTCCTTGACAGGTTTACTAAAATGGCTCATTTCGTTCCCTTGCCTAAACTTCCGTCCTCCCCCGAACTGGCCGTGATATTTGCTAGAGAAATTTTCCGTTTACATGGTATTCCCAATGAGATTGTGTCAGACAGGGGCTCCCAATTTATTTCCCGTTTTTGGAGATCCTTCTGTTCACAGTTGGGCATCAAACTGAATTTTTCTTCGGCCTATCATCCTCAATCTAACGGAGCAGCCGAACGCACTAACCAAAAAATTGAGCAATATCTACGTTGTTTTGTTTCTGAACACCAGGATGACTGGGTCGGTCTGATTCCTTGGGCGGAGTTTGCTCACAACAACCTTGTTTGTGGTTCCACTCGTAATAGCCCCTTTTTCTTGAACTATGGCTTTAACCCTACTGTTCTTCCGTCGGTGTCTCCTTCCCAGGGTATACCGTCGGTTGATATTCATATAGCCAACCTGAGAAAGTTGTGGGATCAGACTCGACAAATTCTTGAACGTAGTTCCGCGGTGTTTAAGTCACATGCTGATAGGCGTAGACGTCCTGCTCCTATTTTTTCTCCGGGGGATAGGGTTTGGTTGTGTACCAGACACATTCGCCTGAAAGTTCCTTCCTTGAAGTTTGCTCCTCGTTACATTGGTCCTTACAGGGTACTGAGGAGGATCAACCCGGTTTCTTATTTGCTGGATCTACCTCCTACTCTACGCATCCCTAACTCTTTTCATGTGTCGTTATTGAAACCTCTTGTTTGTAACAGATTTTCCTCCCGCTCTGCTCCTCCATCCTCGGTCCGTGTGGATGGTCAGGAGGAATATATCATCAAGTCCATCCTTGATTCTCGTATTTCTAGGGGGAAGCTGCAATACCTCATAGACTGGAAAGGTTATGGTCCAGAAGAGAGGTCTTGGGTTCCTGGTATAGACGTGCATGCTCCTCGTCTTCTTCGGGCCTTCCACGTTCGTTTTCCTTCTAAGCCAGGTCCCATCCGCCCGGTGGGCGTTTCTAGAAGGGGGGGTACTGTCAGGGTACCTGTTGGTGATGTATCCAGGGAGGACATCCTCTCTGCTTAGGGGCTCCCTTCCCCTAGCATTTCGGCATATTCCGGCCGTTTTCGCGCCGGCCGCGCTAGCTCCTCCCCCTTTTATGACGCGACGGCTAGCGTCGACGTCATGACGTCGGCATTTGCATAAAGTGCCGGGAACCGCTATTCCGGACCTTTTGGGGGCGTGGTCTCTATTTAGGTTACAGGGTATTTAAAGGAAACCTTTACTACTGCTCATTGCCCTGTCGTGGTTCTAGCTTGCTAGTCACTCAGCGCGTTCTTTATCTTGTGTTTCCGGTTTTGACCCTTGCTTGTCTTTTGTCCTGTTGTCCTCTCCTCTCCTTTGACTCGGCTTGTATCTCGCTTACCTGTCCTCCGGCTCCCTTGACCTCGGCTTACCTTTTGACTATTCTTGCTTTGTCCTTACGTTAGTCCGGCCATTCTAAGGTCCGGTATACGTACCTCCTTCTGTGCGCACTCTGCGTATTGGATCCCTGTCAGTTTCCTGACAGATACCAGGAGAGTTATTTTATTATCTCTCTTTCTTCTGAAAGTTTCCATAATCCACATGCCAAGTTCTTTATTTGAAATAATTTTAAATGAGTATCTAGTCATTATCAGATTGTCTGCTGATTGGACGTGAGAAGCAGGTTATATATTACACGACTTCTAAGGACAATTGCATATATTCTCTATCTACTTATGGATTGCGGAGAATGCTTGTTATGTTTAACTAGCAGACCAGATGTCTAAAGACTGTGTTCCACCATCTTGGTTACACGCTAAGATCATGCTACAATCAGCAATGTATCTCCTAACGCCTTTAAACAACATAACCACTGCAGGAATGTTTTTAAATAAACTGGAGTTCTTTCCAGCAGTCAGAATTAAGAGTTATTTATATCCAACCTATATGGTGGTGATGTGAGAGAGCCTATCTAACCTGCCTGTTACACTATCAGCCAATACCTCCACCCAAGTTGGACAAACGTGACATTGATAATGTGGAAGTGTCACTGTGACTTCTCTGGAGTCCAGGAAGATCCCTGGTTTAATGAATCTTTCCTATAATTCAATTATTAACTATGTTTTTCAAGTCATTCTCCTTCATAATCTGCATAACCTGTTGAAATAAATATTATTATTTTATTAATTATTTATCATTACTTATATATATTTCTAACTAGAATCTCAAGAAACATATTCATAGATATATGTAAATGTAAGTTTTAATACAGCCATGAATTCTGAACATTATTTAACATTCTATAAACAAACGTGAAGATCATGTTAATATTGACATTTTGTGCTCTGTAACGTGTGTTTGCAGATGCTGGCACCACCATGGTTGCATTAGATAATGGTAAACCAAGTGACACTAAACAACAGAACAGGCAACAAAAGCACCTGAATCTCTGCAAGGGCATGAGTCTTTCTGTGTGTTATTCTGCCAGTATCGGAGGCGTTGCTACTCTCACGGGTACCCCACCTAATCTTGTATTGAAAGGACAAATAGACGAGTAGGTATTAGGATGGTTCAAATTTGACACAAGTGTGTATTCTAAAATGGGATGCTTAATTATATTAACTAGTTTGGGTTGGGCAGGATTCAAAATTTGCATGCTAGCCCGGTCTCAATGTTTTTGCATAAAAATAATAAATAAACAAAAATGCTCAGCCTAAGCATTAAAACTCTTTAGTCTAATGAAGTGGTTTTGTTTGATAGATGCTGCCTCTGCAGCCTCACTGCTAAATTATCTGCTGTTTTGGTATTAAACCCATTTATTTCTGCATTACTAGCTACACCTCTCCTGTGACACACACATTCTATGTTCATTTGTAATCTATCTTTCATTCAATGAGTTCCCAAAGTGTGTTTCTTTCCTGCTCTTTTAATTGACTAGCAAATAGCACTGCCAACAGCCTCTTGTGTTAGACTATATAAAGGTATCAGAGCTTCATAGGAACAAACAAGAATCAAAAGAAGCACATTTCTACTCTAGCTTAATGTGAACATTGTATTTTGTATATATACACTGATCAGCCACAACATTTAAACCACTGACAGGTGAAGTGAATATAATTGATTATATTGTTATGATAGCACCTATCAAGGAGTGGGATTTTTTAGGCAACAAGTGAACAGCCAGTTCTGGACTTTCATGTGTTGGAAGCATGAACAGTAGCCAAGCAAAAAGATCTAAATGACCTTGACAAGGGTCAAATGGTGATGGCTAAATGACTGGGTCAGACCATCTCTAAAATGGCAAATCATGTGGGGTGTTCCTGGTAGCCTTGGACATTAAGGTCATGGGTGCCCCAGGCTCATTGATGCATGTCAGGAGCGAAGGCAATCCTGTATAGTTCGAGCACACAGAAGAGCTTCTGTAGCTCAAATGGCTGACAACTTAATGCTGGCCATGATAGAAATGTGTTAGAACGCACATGTATTGTAGATTGCCATGATGATCCCTGTCCACCTCCAAAAGCACCTTTAATGGGGATATGAGCATCAGAACTAGGCCATTGAGAAACAGCCTGATGAATAATGTTTTTTTTACACCAGGTAGATGGTGGGGTGTGTGCGTAGTTTTCATTGACAAGAGATGGCATCTGGATGCACTATGGGAAGAAGGCAGGCCGGAAAAGGCAGTGTCTTGCTCTCGGCAGTGTTATGCTTCGAAACTTTGAGTCCTGGCATTCATGGGGATGTTACTTTGAATAATACCACCTACCTAGAGAAGTTGCAGACCAAGTATGTTCCCTGGTAGCAGGGGCGTTTTTCAGCATGTACCCTGTCACACTGCAAAACTTGTTCAGGAATCATTTGAGAAAAATGACAAAGAGTTCCATGGAGGCTCCACCTCGCAGCTTGCAGGAATTAAAGTATCTGCTGCTAATGTCTTGGTGCCAGATACCACAGGACACTCTCAGAGATCTTGTGGAGTCCATATCTCAATGCAGCAGAGCTATTTTGGCAGCACAAGGGGTATGATATTAGGCAGGTAGTTTTAATAGTGTGGCTGATCAGTGTATATCCTGCAAAATATCCAATATTTACTTATGAACTGTTATACATGTTATATAGGTTTGTTTTACTAATACCTACATTCATGTATGCATGTATTTTCCATAGCTTCCTATGTGTTTCCTATGTGCAAAATACTTTTCTGTGAGAAGCATTTGAATGGACATTGTCCACCATGAACAAGGAAGTTTATCCTGGGCAAAAATGAGGTGGATCAGCTTAGCTGCAGAATTTGCAGAAGAGGAAGAATTCTAGGGAATTATATAAGTGTTTGAAAATCTAATATATTCATATTTTTCTTATTTTAACTTCCCTGTTAAATAAATGCATTTTTCCCTAGTCATTCTCTTCAAATCCAAAAACAAAACAAAAACACTTGCAGTCATATTTAAAAAAAATAATTTGTAATTAGTCGATTTCTTTTTGTAATATAATATGTTATTGTGAATTGTATTGAATAAATGAGATCACTATTAGTGTAATTAGTAATATACAAAAAATATATCTTTGCTTTAGTTATGAAACGTGTTTTCTAGGGTGTTCCCGGGGAACAATAACGCAATCAATTTTGCTTCTTGGTTTGGATTCGCCTTTCCAGCAACAGTTGTGTTACTTGCCTTAACGTGGATCTGGCTTCAGATTATGTTCCTTGGAATTAAGTAAGTAGTTGATCAAAGAGGTCCGGGCCAGAGTGTCATAGGGGCTAATGGAGCTGAAGCTTTTTTTTTTTCTTACTACTCTTCACGTGCCCTTGTTTTGTGCAGAGGGAAGTAATTATGGGAATTTAGGTGGCATGCAGAGGAACAAAACTTGTGTGAATGGGCTGTGTAGCGGAGAGCTGATATTTCACAGGTTATCTCCACTTAAGATCCCAGTGAGACTCAGGAACAAGTATTATAAATCCATAAGGCAAGGCTTTCAGCAGGCAAAACAATCCAACAATATGCCAACATCAATCCCAATGACTGGATGACACACAGCATCAGGAGCAGAACTGACTATTAATTCACACAGCCTCCTTATAAAGCATTCTCCCATGCAAGGGAGGGATTCATCATAATTAAGACAGTAGCCAATAATGTCACAGTTACCTCCCACACATCTCCTCCCCTCAGTGTGACACATAATCCCATTAATCATGCTGTAGTTTTCCCCGAGTTCTGGATGTACCCCAAAACAGTTAGGTACAATGGGCTAAGTTGCACCCCCTGGTAGCCCTGATCTGGGTGACTAACATATCCCAAATTCACCCAGATCAGACCAAGGGTTCGGGAGTTAGGTAGAAGGGACAATTTGACCGACCACACACGAGGTGGTAGCCGAAAAGGATTCCATGGGTTTTGGCCCTGCGGTCGGTCTCAGTTCGGGAGGTAAAATACACATAAATACATGCCATCCACTATTAATCTTGTATTCGCATAAATCCCCTTGTTCGGTACTTTTAACTCACCGAACGGGGGGCCGATTAGCCTCTCTGTTTGGGAGTTACGGAGCTCTGGAGGTCTCAGCGGTGTTCGGGTAATTGAGTGTCCGATTTGAGTTCCAGACACTCGACGCCCAAACACCGATGAGGGTTTCGTGCGTAAGATGGCCGCCGCCACGTGTTCGTATGCCGAACGGCGGCCACCCAAATACATGCGGTTAGAGAAGTGTGAAGCCTAATAAGGTGCACACTTCTCTCTGGGGTGGTCTACTGGTTCGGTAGTTTCATTCGTATGGGATACGGATGAAACTACCGAACAATCATACGAATACTACATACACTTTTAACTATACACGAAAATAAACACACAAATTACAGTTTTAACACAGTCTTTTAGGACAGCCTTAATACCATCAGCTACAGGCTGTCTTTAAAATAGTCCAGCATTAAAAGCAATATAATAAAAAACTAACATTTCCAATAGCAGGGAGTTATTAATTACTGACCAAGACAAGACTGTCAGTTCAATGGAAGTATAATGTACATAGTAAAGTATCAATACTTTACTAGTTGTTTTCTAGGCATCCTCTAGTAATGTGTGATTAATATTTATAATTATCAGTCAAGTTATATTGGGATAGTTTCTGTGAATCATAAATAATTCAGGTGTTCAGTACATGATTGTGATTTAGATCAAATATGTTAACAATATGCAGCTGCATTGATAAATTACCAACTTTTGGTGATGAACACGGGTGTAGGAAATCAACGAATAATGCTGGGGGCAGAGTATGGGTAAAAAATAAACAAGTTAAATAAAGACAACTGCAATTACTGACCCAAAAATATGTTTTGCAAATATCGGACTCTGTTTGAATAGACAAAGGCAGAGGCAGAGTGAAATTTAACTCATTTAGTCTTTTACAAAAAACAAAACACAAAGTAGTGGTAGTACTAATTTAGGCAAATCCCTAATGTGCCTAAGGGTAGTGATTCTCAATCCAGACTTTTAGGTACCCTACCAGTCCAGGATAAGACATTTGCTCAAGTTTGTTCCAAAGGGGACACTGACCAAGCCTAGATCATGGATGTACCTTGAAAGCTGGCACACTGGAAATATAACAGTTCACATTATGTCTCCACACATTTATGTTGCCGTCGAATTAAAAAAAAAATAATCAAATTACGTTATTCAATGTTATGCAAGACAGTTTAATTAATATTATTAGTATCTGTGATATAATAATTTCATTCTGACAATAATAAATGCTTTATGTATTTTTCCAAGCTTTAAACAAAATTTCGGTTGTGGTGGGACACCAGAACAAAAGGAAAAAGAAAGAAGAGCTTATGGGGTGATTTCCTCAGAATACCGAAATTTGGGCTATATGAGCTTTGCGGAGGTCTGCGTTCTGGTTCTCTTTGTTTTGTTAGTGATTCTGTGGTTCACAATGGACCCAGGTTTTATGCCTGGCTGGGCAACAATCAGTTTTAACAAGGGCGGTAAAGAGTGAGTATTGAAACAAAATAAAAGAGACCTACTGCATTTTTACATGTATAAGACTATGTTATTTTCAAAAAAGTTTTTAGTCTAAAATGGGGGTTGTCTTATACACAAAATGTCACTGTAGGGGTTAAAAAAAACACTTATGCGCAAGGCTTAAGTTAATATGGTGATTGGCGCATTTCAATGTGCATGGCCCACACACATACCTGGCCTTTCTTCCACCGATCCACTTCTGAATGCTGTGGCAAGGAGGAAGAGGTCCCTATATGCGTGGGAGCTGCAGCAGACATCAGCACTTACCACCAACGGAGCTCCAGAGACATGCCACACCATAAAAGGAGCAGCCATATTAAGGTTTGCTCCACCTCAGGTAGGTCTTGCTTTCTGATTTATATTCATGGGGGAGGAAATGGGGATCAGGGAGCAGAGGGAATAATACTCAGATGTCCCAGCATGCCCTCACATCAGCTGCTGTATTGTGGGATCTGTAGTCTCCCAGCGTGCACTATAGAACCATTAACTTTACAGAGTACCGTAGCAAGGGGGGGCTAAAAAAATAGGGGTTATCTTATACATAGGGCCATCTTATACATGGAAAAATATGGTATATTTGCATTGTATGTAAACCTGTCTTGCACTGTACTTGCCATAGGGCAATGGCATCCTCTCTTTCAAGGTATCTGTTGATCGTTCTGCGAGTAGAGAATGATAAGATTGCAAGCATTTGGGTAAACATATGATAAACACAGGGCCTTCTTAATAGCATTATAGGCCCTCGTTCAAAGCAGTGCACAGGGGCTCTGCCTCACACAACCACTTAGAGGAATAAAAATGCAAATTATCGATAAAATGTCTTTGCAGAGAATTGCTTTATAATTGGCTTGAAGTCAATGGTCTTCAGGATGTTAGAACTTTATTATAGTTTTATGGCTTCAAAATATCATGTGTGTTGATTATGTTTTGCTTAGGTACAATTAGTATGTGTACATTGATTTCTTCAAGGTCAAGACATGCATTCGCACCATTAAGATCGCATGTATAGATAACAGGTGATACTAAAGTGATTAGTCCACCTTAACATTTGAGAGTTTGAAGGTTCTGAATAAACTGGAATAATGTACTGAAAATATGGCAAGCCTGTGGGGCACTAGGGGCACTGGGGGCCCAGGGCAACTGCCCAATGTGCCCATGCGTTACTACGGCTCTGTGTAAACAGATCATGGTTGACAGACACTGCTTATAATATCTGCTTAAATGGGTGACACAGACAAACTCATACAGGCATAAGACAATATCTATTTACCAGGGTTCAACCAAGCTAACATAATATTAGTAGGATTACAAAAATGAACATATTTAGGTGATGGCCTAATAACAGTAATGATGAATTAGATAAAACATTAGGGTAAATGGGCCAGTGATACATCTCTACTTAATCAAGCATGCTTTGCCCTTCTCTATAGCTGCGATATAGTAAATACTCAACTTCTATCCTGTTATTGACATTGCATTATAGCAATCACCATTAGCTTATATTTTTTTCTAGACATTATATTAATGTATTCATTCTGACTTCTCTTCCTATTATCCAGTTTTGTTACAGATACAACAGTTGCTATGTTCATTTCTCTTACGATGTTTTTTTTCCCATCGGAGATGCCCTCATTGAAGCGTCAGGACACAGGACATTTAGGTAAATATATAGTTTATGTCGTGTTAGACTATATGAATTATTTGTGTTAAGACATGAAGATTGTGTCTAGATCAGTGGTTCTCAAACCAGTCCTCAAGACCCACCAGCAGTCCAGGTTTTGTTAGTATCTCCATTGGAATAAAACAGAGAAATACATAAATCCTGCACTGTTGATGGGCCATGAGGACTGGTTTGAGAACCACTGGTCTAGATAAAGTTGCGAAAGTGTTCTGAACTAACCAAAGTTTATTTTGCAATATTCTGCCAGGATAGAAAAAATTGGGATTGTATATACCAGTGTTTGCCCCAACAGTAAAAATCTCTAATGGTGTTATTCACTAAAGTGAAAATTTAAAGTGAATTTAAAATTTAAGGTCAAAGTAGCCAAACTGGAAAATTGATCTCAGTCATCAATGCTTTCAGCTTGTCTACCCTGGCCTTAAATTTGAAACACACTTTGAAATTCCACTTTAGCAAATAACCCTGTAATTACCCTCTCCATTTTGCTACTAGACTTGATAATTTGTTTTCGCACATATTTATATGAAAAACATAAATTAACTAATTGCAAAACCGATTTTAACCCATTGGGACCTAATGGTGGGGGAAGGGAAACTAATAATACATTACACTACTGGGCAGTTGAAAAAACCCCAACAATAAACAATCTGGCAAAGATGCCTCTGCCACGAGCTCCTGGAGGAGCCTGCTGGCTACCCTCCTGCCCAAGGGCCATGGACCATGTAACCGACCCTTAAAATACTTGGTTCGTGTGGTTTCCCTTTTTAGTTCGGGAAATGAACAGACGCATGAATTGCGGACCACCTCTGGGCTTGTTAACTCCTATTAACATCTCCTGACACTTCCATCATCACTTGCACACTATGTATCCTAAGTGATTGGCGTGGTGGCTGCTGTTCGTATGCACGAACACGTGGGAAACTGAGTTGGTGGCCATTTTGTTGCACAAATGCAGGCAGCAGTGCTTGGTCGTCGAGTGCATGGAACTAAAATCGAACCCTCTAAGTCGCAAACACCGCTGAACTTTGACAAACACCTTCTTCATTTCTACTCATGTCAGGAGAGTGCCATTCGGTAGGATTGTTCGCATGGGGTGTTGTAAAATTGTTGTATTTTTCTGTACCTAGAGATAATTGAGTTTGTATAGTTTCTGACTCAATTATCTGTCAGGCACAAGGGAGGAGTTTACTGTATGTATAAATTGAGAGTGCTTGCCGGCATTAAACAGATCTACTCCCAGCATTCATTCTCGACTAATGTGTGTGTGTGGGGGAATACTATAATCACTATACAGCTACACTCGCTGTAGGAAAGCTTTGATCACTGGAAGCTGGATCCAGGACCCTGGTCCAGGGTGGGAAACAATGGCAAGAACCCAGCCAAGCCGCGGTAGCCAGGGGCTCAAGTGCTGATGGTGTCCCGGCGATAGCTAGGAAGAGTGCTTGGCAGAGGTACCCACTTGGGGTACCAGGCAGTCCGCCACATCTGATGGCAGCAGTGGGATGGCTTCCTAGCGAGTGGGGAAGCATCCCAGGGAAACCGAAATACCATATAGAATACTGGCAAGAGGGGTAGCGCTAGAGTAAGCTAGTCCCCGGGCAGCATCCCCATATGAGGAAGAGTTCAACTGGAGACTACAGAGCACCTTGACCCTAGAGGATGATCCTATCTCAGAAGATTGCATACTGGACTGGAAGGATGTCATTCGGTAGAAGCTCTAGTACAAGGCCCTGGAGGACATTCAGCTGCGGCAGAGAGAGAGCCTCCCAAGCCAAGAGCAGCGGTTACAGGGACAAGTGGCTATGGGGATGCCTTTCCTGGGAGAGCAGCCCCTGGAGGAGTGGGTGATGGAACTTGAGGACCTGGCCTGGAAGGAGCTGTGGCTGGACGAGGCTTCTGTCACAGTTTCTGATTCAATTATCTCTCAGGCACAGGGGATGAGTTTACTGTATGTATAAACTGAGAGTGCTTGCCGGCATTAAACAGATCTACTCCCAGCATTCAGTCTTGACTAATGTGTGTGGGGGGGAAATTCTATAATCACTATACAGCTATACTCGCTGTAGGAGAGCTTTGACCACTGGAAGCTGGATCTAGGACCCTTGTCCAGGGTGGGAAGCAACGGATTCCATGCAGGAGTGATGTCATGTTACGGTTCCCAGCATCACCCCAGAGAGTGCATGAGGAAGCAGTGAGGAACTGGAAATACATTAGCCAGCCGGCCACCCCCTCTGCCCCCTATAACCGGCCATTGGACTGCTCCTCATGGTGTCCACCACCTTCTGTGCACCCTGTGCACTTTCCCAGGATCGGCCCTGTTGTGTCATTCTACACTGAACAGAGGGATAGTGACAGGTCACTGCTGGCAGTAAACCCACTTCAATGAGATGCAATGGTTATAGTGCCAAGAGAGTCCCTCTAACTCTGTGCTACAATAGTTAAAGAGCAGCATGGCCACTAGCTGTTTAACTTTCTTTGTAGAGATTAAAAATATGACTCTAGCCTACACACACAAGAAAATTACTCTTACAAATTGCTAAAACAGTCTATCTGATCCCTTTCATGAAAAGTGTGAGGACGTCCAGTGTCAGTTAGCAGACTAAAAGTCTGATATCGACCTGGAAGTGCCTCTAGTGGCTATCTGGTAGACAGCCACTAGAGGTGGAGTTAACCCTCCAAGGTAATTATTGCAGTTATGAAACACTGCACCCAGGCCACTTCAATGAGCTGAAGTGGTCTGGGTGCCTATAGTGTGCCTTTAAGGAATAGGTCCATAAGTTTGCCATGTTTGAAAATTTCAAGTTTCTTTTAGGCCAAATTTATACACAGTCATATACAGTACAGCCATAAATGTATACACAGAATATACAGATTTTCCTAATATATATATTTTTGTTTAGTGTGCAGTCATAAGTAGATCCCAGTCTATCCTCAGCAATTTATTTGAAAACCAAATGTCAGAGACAGCTCATAAACAATTATAGCACTTAACAATATGCATATATCATATACTTTTAAATCATTTACTAGGTATCTGTAAAAGAAAACAAATATATTTTCTGTTACAATGCCTGCGCCAAGAGCATGGTGTTCACATGTAAAGGTTAAACTTCATGGCTCAGCAATCTGTTAATCTATGGTATTTATTGCGCAACAGATATAATCTTTAACACATAAAAAGATATGAAATCAGAGCCAATATTTTTTTTGTTACTCTGGAGCATTTTATTTCCTGCTCTAGCTTACATTCAGCAGTACATGCAGTGCATTATAATTATTGCTTGTAATCGTAGGAATATAAAAACTAAATAATGCTTTCTGGAGTAATTACCACAGCACAGCTGGGACTAAACAACTGGGAATCTTCATGAAGGAATTCAAGTATCGGATCCTGAAAGTGTGATTTAACGCATATTCTATTTGAAGTTTACATGTTTATACCACTAAGACCAGTGGTGCCCAAATGGTAGATCCACAGATATTTTCAAACTACAGCTTCCATGATGCTTTGTCATGCTAAAGTATTCTAAAGGCATGCAGAGCATAATGGAAGTTGCAGTTCTACAACATCTGAGGATCTACCTTTTGGGCACCCCTGACTTAGAGGGTCAATCCAAGCACCATAAGCACTTAGGACCATTACAAAAGGAATAATGCTTGGAGCTCCTTGAGTCCTCTATATATGAGAGACAGATTGATATACCAGCAACTGGAAGATTTCCTATATTATAAAGGCATGTGCCATATAATAACATATCTTCCAGCTGAAAGGACAGTTTATACCCACCAATCATGCCCCAGCATTGCCAGCATTCATTCTGTGCAAAGTTTTTGGGTTCTGAACCAGGGTGTAAAAAAGTGAGATTTATTGACATTTTCCACCACTTGATTCTGTGCAATGTCATCTGTTTGAAGGGGGAAGCAGATCTTTGCTGTTATAATATTCCTGCCTTGCAGGAATTTATATTTCTTACAGTGTCCTCTCTGATTCATAAGTAATGGCTTCAGTAGATTTTCATAATTGGCAGCAGAGCCATTTGTTCATTTGTTCCTGATACTCTGTGGTCGACAAATATCTGGATGAAGCCATAATTCCAACATCTTGAACTAACGTGAGGACTGTGGAGAGTTTAATAATGCTTTCTTTGCCATGGTTCCAATCCCAGGTGTACATGGTGATAATGCACTGCTTCTAGAATGAAGACACATTTCCATACTGAACTGAAAATAGCTAATGTATCCTGTTCAAAGTAGACGCTACTGCACTGTTTGTATCATTGAGGGAATCATCTCCTACATAATGTAGAGCCAAAGCCTTTTGCAGATTCATCACTTTATGAAACTATGTTCATGTCCCGAGCTATAATACTTTATAATACCGATCCTTAAAGTGAGTAAAACATGTTCCATAATCTTTGGATGATTCAATTACAATGTTGCAATTTGTGAGTTCAAGTCCATTAAAGCATAAACCCATAAAATGATCACCACTAAAGCATCTGTCCAGAAAGAATGTATTCAAATATTAACAATCTTGCAAACACATGGTGTCAAAACTCTATTCTGTTTTCCTGATGATTCATGTAGGGAGGGATTTTGTTAAAGTTCATGTTATGCATTCAAATTCCATTTGTATTCATTTATAGGGGAGAAGGCCAGTATAAAAGTCCCCCCTCCTCTACTAGACTGGGCCACCATTAACCAGAAAATGCCTTGGAGCATTATCATCCTGCTGGGAGGAGGGTTTGCTTTGGCCAAAGGGAGTGAGGTAAGTCAATGAGCTACATGTATCTGAGTCCTTTAAGAAATAAGGCTTATTGTGAGACATGAAATATTGGCAAAAAACAATAGCCACAAAATGTTCTGGTAACAACTATCCCAGATGGTGCAGCTATATGTTCTTACATACAACAGTCACAGGGAGATTAAATAATATGGGATGGAGAAGGGGGGAGTGGGGGCAGGGGGAGGAGGGGGCATGGCCTGGCTGCTGACAAAGATGGCCTTATAAAACTTTCTCTCCAAGGGCCTTGTAATTGCAAGCACTTCCCTTGACCAGATGCCACACTATGGGGAAATCTTCCCACTCATTAGGGTCAGGAAAGACCCCAACATCAAAACAGGGGCATCTCACCTCGTCCCAGCACCAGAGGACCGTGCAACACCACCTCTAGGTCTGGATGGCTAACTGCCATAGGAGGCTTTACAGGTCTCATTCCCTAGGTCAAAGAATGGTTCTGAACCCACGTGACTGGATATCCCTGATACATGCTGTCCCTACCAAGTTGGATCTGCGCTACGCCACGGTGGAACTACAATACACAATTAAGGCTGACATACAAGCCACCTGCACAGAGCTGCTATACTTCTTGACTGAATGCTTGGCCAGTGTGGAGTGTGACACCATCAGATTGGCCCAGACACATGCCACAGAAAGCCTGATGACACATACATACCATATGTGCTGCATGACACTACTTGTGGAGGACCTGGACAACCACAAATGCCAAAATAACATCAGGCTCCACAGCCTACCAGAAGCTGAAGACTTCCCGATCCAATTCCACACCCATCTCCACCTCATCTTCGACAACCTGCAATCCCTTAGAGATTGAAAATGTCTAACTTATGGTCCCCCTTAGGACATAATTTATTATCAGGTCCACTATGGGCTAACAGAAGATATTCTCTGCAAAGCCAGCGTTCATATAGTTTTGGGAATCAGTAATCCAGCTATTCCCAGATGTATCCCCTGCAATCTTGGACTAGTTAAGGGCCATGTAGCTCCTAACACAGGTATTGCTTCGCCAACGAATAAGGTGCTGGTGGTAGATGCCGATAGGTCTTTACTCCTCAGGTCCTACATTGATCTGTTCCCATGCAAACGTTGTAGCACTAAGCCATAGTCTATAGCTCCTGGTAATTAATATGAGATGGCCAAACCCCCCGGACTTCTATGTCCTGGGACCAGAACCCGAAGCAGAGCTACTGGAGGAGCATGATGACTGCTTTCCATCACCTATGGTCCTTATTATACAAAGAGACTTGCTCCCCACTGACAAAATCATTATATTGCATGGAGATAACTCTGACACAAATTTGAGCCTCATCCCTCCACCATAGGACTACCTACACCTACCAAACTTTCCTCTGACGCAGCCTGCAACACACCACCAGCAAGTTCCACAAGCACACCAGACCAGCGGGCCCGCTGGTGCTGAAACCAGGTTATGACTGTGAACTTTTGTCACGCTATATCTTGCTATGTGATACTAACTACCTGAGAGATGAATCCACAGCCTGCAATGAGGCACAGGTTGCCATTAACACTGTTTACACAGACACGCATCTCATGCAACATTAATCAATCCCATCATATATGAAAGAACAAGATGTGTAAAAGCAGAGTAATCCCAACTGAGAGGGATCGTCTCCCCTTCCACTCTATTTTCCTCATCCCACCCCTTTTCTCCCACACATCTTTCTACTCTCCTATTGGCCATTTTATCCCCTTCTCCCCTCATTATCTCACCCCCTCTTGCCCCCTCCCACTTTACCCTCTCTCTCACACCCCTCTTTCCCCTTTTACAATCTGCCAAACCTCACAATGCATGATCTGCCTGATGCCACGTCTGTGGCCCTTAATATGGTTCCAGGCTGCTTAAGTCACATGTGCCAGGGTTGCAGCTAGCCCCCAGCATACAAGTGCCAATATTTCTGCAGGTGCAGTGTTTCAAGCAGAAATGCTGCACATACAGACTCCTAGCAACATGAACAATTAAAATCAATGAAGTGGTCATGATGGTTGGAGTAACCATTTAACAACCAAGTCACAGCATTCAAAGCAGGATGCACTCATGGTTCCATCTCTTTCAGGTATCAGGATTGTCATTATGGATTGGGGAGAAACTGACACCATTGCAAAACCTGCCTCCAGCAGCTACAGCCTTCATATTGTGTCTGCTGGTTGCTACATTCACTGAATTTACCAGCAATGTAGCCACTACTACTTTGTTTTTGCCCATCCTGGCTTCAATGGTAAGACCTCTGATAATAGGATATAGCGTTGCATGCAAGAAAATACATTGGCTTTGCATATATCATTTATTTTATAGCTTGGGGCCAACTTTGGGAAACACAGAACAGAATTGTGTTATGTACACTTTCCTTGCTATGCTCCCAGAGATTTAAGTCCTCAACTCAGATTTAAAACTTCCAGTTTAACAAATGTATCAATAAAATGCGTTTTCATTGCCCTACTCGGCTGCTAAGAATATCTTATCTCACTGATTTGTTTCTGTGTTAGTCATATTTGTCCAATTGTTTAGCTGACTTATAGCCTGTGTTTCAAGGATTTAGGCATTTCTTGTAGTGTTTGGATAAGCTTATCATGTATGGTAACCAGAGTCTCTGATAACTGAGAAAATAAATGTTTGGGTAGAGGCTGCAGAAATTACAGTTGTGATCAGTTCCTAAGCAACCATGAAACCCCTGAACTGCTCAGCTCCCCATTAGTCCCTAGTGGTGAAAATATCTCTCTAAAAATTACAAAGGTAGCCATCAGGAGTCATAATTAAAACCGTGATCTACAGAATATCTTACAAGTTTTCTTACACATGCAAAATGAGACGCCATATAGAGCAAGGGTGCCCCAAAGGTAGATCCCCAGATGTTGTAGAACTACAACTCCCATGTTGCTTTGCATGCCTTTAGAATGACAAAGCATCATGAAAGCTGTAGTTTTAAAACACCTGGGGATCTATATCTTGGGCACCCCTGATATAGAGCTTTTCGACATCGAGAAGTTGCCTTTTCCTGTCCGTGATTTTGAATGTCAGTGGAAAGGAAAAGGGTAAAATTAAGCAGATGGAAACAGTTTGAATTTCTTTTTTTTTTTACTACATTTTACCCCAAATCGGTTCCTTTATTAGGGAAAGTAGTTGTCTTATAATATAGTTTGATTGCATTGAAATTCAGAAATTCTAACAGGGTTCATTTTTCATGAAGATTCTATGTTTATTAAAATAAAGTCAAAAGCGATATCAAAGTTTTATATTCCAGGAATTTCTCATGCATTGTCAACAGATAAAGGATGATATAATCACTCTAGTTTAGCTTTTCACTAAAGTGAGAATTGCCAAGAACTGAAAGTGAATGCAAACTGAATTTTGAACTACAGACATTCTCCAAATCTAGTTAAATCTAGTGGTTCCATAGCCTTGTTACAGCAAACTGTTTTAATCTGGGTACCACCAGGCTCATCATCTTTTTTTGTAGGCAGATTTCCAACATCCAGCCGCTACAGAGCTGCAGAAGTCGACTGCCAATCCTGGCACACATAGATTGGCTGAGAGTGTCAGCTGACCACTATCAGTCAATCAATGAGCGTCTGTGCATCAACATCTGCCAAGAATTAACATTAGCCAGCCTAGGGGTCTTGTTCAAGGCTGGCTCATGTCTCCTCTGTGACACAGCCGATAATGAAGTTACACCTACAGCAGCAGAAGGGTTAATCTCGGTATGGGCAATATAGACTCCATGCACCATTACTACTTCAAATCACAGAATTGGTTACAAAGTTGTAGTAAGTACAAAAAAAAATATATAAGGAAGAAAAAATAATTCCATCAAAACTTTATAACTCTTTTTAAAATGTTCTGATGTGTTGTTTCCTTCTGATTATCTTTTTTTTTTCCTCAGGCTAAAGTAATCAAAATCAATCCATTGTACATCATGATCCCATGCACTCTTTCTTCCTCTTTGGCCTTCATGCTACCAGTGGCCACACCACCCAACGCCATAGCCTTCTCATATGGACAACTCAGGGTTAGTGACATGGTAAGTAAGAATCCCTTCAATCAAGTGTCAATTATTCTGCTCAGCTGGATTCTAATCAGGAAAATTATCTAACGTGCCCACCAGTCATAGAAAGATACTTTATGTCTCTTTTTATTGGAGTTATTGGGGTATTATATTCACTGAACTGGTCTCTAATTCTGTATGATGACTCTACATAATGTGCTCCTTCTAATATAGCCCTGTTTCAGTGTCACTCAAACAATACTCAGTATTTAAAACTTTTCATTTAGATGATGGTACTTTCTGTATTACCTACCTGAACAGACTACATTACTGTTCACTAAATCTCACTGGCTCCCATCAGTGATGAATTGACCGAGCTATGTAACTGTTCACATTATATTTACCAGTCATTAATCTTTTTCTGTTTCAGTTATGGGGTTAAGAAGTAATACAGTTTATTCTATTTTTATACATACATGCACACATAAGCACAGATGTTCAAGTTTAAAATAATTATAAAACTAAATTTAGCAGGTAAGATAGGGGTAGGCAACCTTTGGCACTCCAGATGTTATGGACTACATCTTCCCTGATGCTTTGTCAGCACTATGGCTGTAAGAGTATTTTATTTGGTTCATGTGGTCTTAAAGTGGGTAAACATAATTGATAATTAATATACTTTTAAAAAATCCAGAGCTTGCTTCCCTCCAGTATTACGTATACAAATTACTATTATTAGTATTATGAAATGTATTGTATATAAATCACCATAATCTAGTATGTTTTCATTCATTTCTCATAGGCAAAAGCTGGACTTCTTCTGAACATCCTTGGTGTGCTGACCATTACACTGGCCATCAACAGTTGGGGCTTTTATATATTTAACTTGGGCACCTTCCCTTCGTGGGCAAATACCACAGGACAATCTTAATGCACATTCTATGGGAATAGAAAAATATTAGTATAAATTACCAGTACATTACAATAGAGGCCAAAGGAAACTGAAATGTAGATATATGACTTCATTGCCATATGAACTTTATCTTCTCCGACAGTGCATGTGTTATTTCTCCATCCTAACAACGAACACAAGGTCTAAGACCAGATGAAACTTGCTTACTATTACGACAGATCTCATATTCATTGAACTAGAAGGGATTAGACTTTAATGGTCTATTGGAGAACTGGTGCATGAATTACACCCATGTTAATGCTGTAAGTTGAAATAATAAATGTAGGTGCAATGTAAATGGCTCATGAATAGGTGATGGAGCTTGCAATGTGATAGCAGTGGATGCAAAGGGCAAAATTACCTACATTATCAAAGAATGGCCAGAAACTGAGTGATCAGGTCACCAGGGATATTATTAAGCATTGTCTCTTCTCTAAAAGAGATTTATCTAGACTTACTTACTCTTGCATAGTTTTTTTTTCTGTACAGAGGAGTTGGGCACGTTAGATATGCATATATTTAGTTTGATATCTAAGCCCAATTTCCACCCGATCTCCTAAGCCTAATCTGCCATCAAGGGACTGGAAGAAGGAGAACTTGTTTATATGACCCAATGTTGTTTCTAGGGTTGGCAACCTTCTGCACTCCAAATATTGTGGACTACATCTCCCCTGATCCTATGCTAACATTATGGTTGTAAGAGTATTATGGGAGATGTAGTCTACAACATCTGGAGTGCCAAAGGTTGTCTACCCCTGTTCTAGAGGAACCTACTCCCACAGCACATTTGCTGTGATGTCCCCTAATACTTGGACATCAAAACATCTCCATTAGGTTCCCTGCTGTGTCCAAATCTATCTCTAGAAGTGAGGGTTATCATTAGCACAAATAGGTTTTTAAAGTATATGATTCTCAGACAACTTATAATGTGTATGATTCAGGAGAATAGCACTTAGAAAAGCACAGAAAAAAATCTATCATCATTAGGAACATCTAGGCCTCAACAAGCATTGGAAACTGTATTCCTTGGAAAATATAACAAAGATACTGCTCAGGCACTCTTTATTTCTATATATACATATGTATGTGTGTGTGTTCGGGGCATTCTCATATGATATAGAATAAGATTGGTTGTAGAGATGTAGCTTTAGGAATAATCAGTTGAGGTGTGACGAAACCAACGTATGCTGTAGGCCGGTAAAAAGTGGGCTTACATAGAGGAAATATGAACAATGGGAATGGAGGGTGCGGCTATTCGTCTGACCAACAAAGGTAAGTAGGGAAAGGGGGGAGTCCCTTTTATAGGTCTATAGCCCCTCCCACAACTTCAGGCCATGCCTTCCAATTAGTGTTCGGGGCATTCTCATATGATATAGAATAAGATGGGTTGTAGAGATGTAGCTTTAGGAATACTCAGTTGAGGTGTGCCGAAACCGACGTATGCTGTTGGGCAAAAAGAGACATATTAATGCAAAACATTATACAGGATCATAGTGCATTTGTTAACCATCAGGTAGACATTTTAATGAAAGCTGGTCTGTGTGTTTTAGAAGATAAGAGGTCAACAGGCACTGTTGTTTATGATTTTGGCCGCTGATAGTGAGTTATTTTTTGGCCTGAGAAAGCCGTTAAAGGCTAGATAGGTAGCAGTTTTGATAACTGCATTGGTGCGTGGCTCGGAAGATGCATGGTCGAGTAGTTCTGACATGGTTTGAACATTGTATGTCTATGGCCAGTATTTAGTTTTAGCGGGAACGTCCGCCTTGGCTATGTCTCTAAGTAAGGTATGGATGGGGTAGGAGGATAGGAACCCTTGTTGTTTAGGAAGGAGAAATATGTATAGTGTTGAATGCCTGTGAGATAAGTTTAACTGTGTTGTGTGAGAATTTTTAACTTAAGGTGGCAAAAATAGGCGAAGGCCATAAGTGGTGAAATCTCAAACCAGCTATCTAAATGATGGTCTGACATGAAACGTATTGTATAAGTGGAAAACCCTGTAGCAAGCGTGTTGAGTTCTGGTGGACAAGGCCAGTTTTGTCAGAGCCCGGTTATGTTGGCGAGGTTCATGTAATCCATGACCTTGACCATAAATGACCCCCCTGCCATGGCGGCTGTCACGGAAGCTGCCACAATAAATTACCATTACATGTGGTTAAGAAAGTCCACTATATGTATAGGTCTGCCGTGGCTTGGTTGTCTAGGGACAGCCCCTGATCATCATGCGGGAGTGTGGAAAAAGCAAAGTGGTCTTAGATGAAAGCGTGGCCTGCGGTATGATGCGCATGGCAAAATGTAAGGAACCTGGTAGGGATTGTAGTTCCATGCGTTTGCAAGTACAAAGCAGGAGGTGGTAATTTGGTGTTGTTGCGACTGTTCCTATTTCTCACGTGGTAACTTGTTGGCATGGATGCCAAGTCAAGTTGTGTGCCCAGGAATGTAACGATAGTGTCTGGGTCTTCTGTGACCTTAGGGAATACTGGGACACCCAAGTGTTCAGACATAATAATGGCTTCCTTGAAGCTTCTAGAGGGAAAGGCGTTCCCTTTGACCAACAAGAAATCATCTCGTGAGTATGACTGTGGGGCATCTGGATATGTTTAACCACAACCAGTAAAAGAGTTCAACAAATATATTGAAGATTGTGGGCTGCTCTTGACCTGAAATCTAAGTGGGAGAAGAAATATATAACTGCTGCCCATAAATGTCCTGTAAGTGCCAGTGTAGGGTGGATGGTGGCAGTCTGAAATGCGTTTGTGATATCAGTTTTACTTAACCAGGCTTCCCCCCCTGCTTGAGTGAAAGCTCTAATGGTATGAACAATGGTGGCATACTGTAATGAAAACTCCTTGGAGGGTATGAGGGAGTTGAGACTTGGGGTAGCCGAGGAGTGAGGTGCAGATAAGTTTATGATCAGTTACAGTGTGAGGGAAGATTCCCTGAGACAATCCCAATGGGATTGCGCCACGCTGTAAATGGTGTAGATCGGAGAGGCCCAGGTAGAAATCTTTCTGCCATTTCTTGGGCCATGAGTGTAATGCCAGCTGTTGGATGCTGCTGTGATGACTGCAGGTTAGGGCATTCTAGATTCCCCCAAAAGTATATGGCAATACCTGTACAGAAGGCCTTTAAAATTCAGAGATTAGGAAATCAACTAAATGTCTGGAAGGGTGATGAGTTTGAAAGTACTGGAAATGCATAATGTTTACAGAAGTGAAGTGAGGTTCAGGGTACATTTATTGGGACACATGGTTTGCATGTGCCCTGACATATTGAGAACATATCTGCAACAGTCTGCATGCACCAACATGGAAATTGTTGCAAATCTGGGATTTGCCAAAGAGAATGAGATGACCCAATTTGTCTCTGGTAGTTCGCTACGGTTTGAGAGTCCCTGAGACACCAAATGCGATGCTGACTGCAGAGAAAGCCACTGGAAAGCCCTGCTGCAGGATTCCTGGACACAGCTTGGAGTAGGAGACCTCATGGAGCAGAGGTGAAACCAAAATGGTGTCTTGTATGACCTGGAAGTGGATAATTATATATCTTGTTTTATAATTTGTGAATGATTCAGTCAGCAGCAAACATGGATATATCCTGCCGCTGGTGCTGAGAATATATTTCCAACCGTATACACAGGTTTTACTTACTGATTGCTCAATTTCTACCCTTTAACATATTTAAAACTTGCATATCTCTCAACTATGTCTGACCCTAGGAGGAATAAAACTCATTCCAGCATGCCCTCTGCCTGCTGTGAAATCATCAAAATGGTCTAGGGCGCACAAACCACACAGCCATACTCAGCCAGTTGGATGCTTCTCATAGAGAAGAATTATTCCAATGCTTCTTATTGAGAGCATTAAGAGAATTAAGAGTCACCCTCCTGTGAATGATGATGTGGAACATGCAGAAAAAATAAAAAGACTTAATGAGGAAATATCTCAAAACAGCTTGCAAAACCTGCAGATCTCTTGTCTGCAGCCTTTGCAAGCATTCCCCTTCTAACCTCGCTCAGACTTTCTGTGGCTGTCCAAAGCAGCTCAATGAGAATTCTTTGCAAGGCAGGTGTTCTGGGCAATTGCTGCCTCTTGAGTTCAGTGCAAATAAGCTAACCAAACCAGGAAGTATCAGGACCTGCTGTCTGATTGAAAAGTCAGTGGGTGGGTGTAAGCAGTATACTTTATAAAAGTGTCAATTTCTTTTGAAATCTGCACTATTTCCAAAACAAAAAAAGGGAGGTCACACTTTTACACATACACAAGCTTTTCAGCAAGCTAAATTTGTTTAGGGGTCTGAAGTGTTCCTTAACAGGAAATAGGGTCTGGAATAGTGGTGCAAATATTCTCCCATCTCGTTTTCAGATATCTCTTAAAAGTTAGACACATGTTTTGTTGTTTTTCTCTATTAAATATTGTGCTAGTGTGTTCATGACAGAGCAGAGTGCCTCATTCCATATCCAAACTTTAAGGCAACTTAAGGCAGTAGCCTAGCGCTCAGGAGATGAACTGCAGCCCTGGACATCATGAAATACTTGTCCAAAGTTGAACCAATTCACTATATACTAAGAGTGATGGGACAGGGCAAAATCTTATAACCAGCATCAGGCCTCATTCTGAGTGAAATCATCCAGACTTATGTTTCCATAAAATTGGTACACAGGTCCTATTGGTCCTTGTTAAATAAACTCCATAACGCAAACGCCGGTAAAGTCATCTGTAACTAATATGCTAGTTTTACCATTCATCCAACGACTCCTAGGTAGTGGCCAATATATTCAGCAGGGGGAGCTGTTTGATCAAAATGAAGGTGTTTGAACTGAATTGTTCCAATAAAAAACTTAAGCTAATCAACTTATGTTAATTGTAGTAGACAGACAGACATTGAAAGACATAGTCTGATTTAATTGGTACCTGTTATTTTGTAATATGTAATGGGTCTTAATTGAGTTTCTGAGCATTAAGGTCCATGATATTCACTTAGCATTAAAATATGCAAAATGCCTTTACAATTCATCATATGGATGTGGTTCTGATTGAAATTATATTAAATGTACTTGTCCATGCAAGACTAGACCTGTTCCAACTAACAAGCAAATACTTTTTAATTTTTTTTTTTAAACAGAGCTATTCATTGAGTCCAGTGTATAACATTATATGTCGCTGAAATTGGCTAAATAATGATTGCACCAACATAACAAAGTTCACAAATGCTCAGCTCGCAAATTGTAGTCCTGTTTAACCTCGCATGCACAGCACAGCGCTAGGCACACTGCTGACACTTGGGGAATAGATCACATGACTACAGAATAGTAAAGAGATTTTTTTTTTGCTGCAAATGATCAAATAATAAAAAAGAAATTATAAAAAGTTCCTTTGTGAAAGGGTTTTCAAGTTATTCTGCAAGTATTTTTCATATTTCATCATTTTTCAGAATTAAAATATCTTAGGTGTTGTACATTTCATACTGTGTGGCATTTATTAGATTGCTCTAAATATTTTGCATAACAGTTAATTAAGAAAAGGTCACCATATTTAGAGTGGTGGAAAAATGAAACCTGACATAGAACACCTGTGGTGGTGCTGTGGTTTGGTCCTATAAAATGGTAAATTAAGCTGAAACTTACGTGAAATCCATTACAGTTGAAGCTGCCAGCACTGTTTGGCATTTCCCCCGTCTGACTTCCCTGGAGCTGTCGAGATGTCCAATCAAATGCTTCTTATAGAGCAGCGTTTCCCAATTGTTGTGCCGCGGAACCCTGGCGTGTGGCAAGGGAGCAGTGGGCAGTGATCTCCCTGCTGAGCTCCCTCGCACGCACAGTGATCCTGAGCCGGAATATGACGTCACTATGGCCCCAGCATCACTAAGAGGCACGTGAGGGAGCTGAGCAGGGAGATCACTGCTCCCCGCAGCCTGCACGACAGCCGCTCAGCAGCTCCACTGGACCCCAGGGACTCCATGCCAGCCACCCAGCAGCCCCACTGGACCACAGGGACTCCATGCCAGCACTCCTGAACGTAGGGGGGCTGGGTGGAGTAAAATGTAAAAAAATAATAATAATTGTATGTGTGTCTGTTAGGGAGTTTGTATATGTTTGTGTGTCTGTCAAAAAATATATGTGTGATTGTCAGTGAGAGTGAATGTGTGCTTGTCAGTGTGTGTGTGAGTGTATGTGTTTGTCAGTGAGAATGTATCTGTTCTTGTCAGTGAGAGTGTGTGTCTGTCAAACAGTATGTATGTCAGTGTGTGTATCTGTGTGTCAAGGTTTGTGTATGTGTCAGTGTGAGTATCTAAGTGTGTGTGTGTGTATCAGTGTGTTTCTATGTGCCTGTGTGTCAGTGTGTGTATGTGCCAGTGGGTATCTGTGGGTGCAAGTGTGTGTATATGTCACTGTGTGTATCTGAGTGTTTGTATTTGTTAGTCAAGATGTGTGTGTCAGTGTGTATCTGAGTGTGTGTATCTGAGTGTCAGTGTGTATCTGTGTGCCACTATGTGCCAGTGTGTGTGTGTATGTGTGTGTCAGATACATATACACACACAGATACACACTGACACAGAGATACACACACTGGCACATACAAACACAGATATACACAACTTGACACACAACGGCATATACAAACACAGATACACACTTTGAAACATATACACACACCCTGACACACAGATACATACACACAAACAGATGCACACTATGAGTCAATATCTGTGTGCCACTATCTGCCAGTGTGTGTGTATCTATGTGTCAGATTCATACACAGTGGCACATACAAACATAGATACACACACCTTGATACACAGACACATACAAACACAGAAACACACACCTTGACACACAGATAGATACATACATACACACACACACACACACACACAGATACACACTGTGTGTCAAGGTGCATGTATCTGTGTGTCAGATATACACACACAGAGATACACACATGGGCACATACAAGCACAGATATACACACCTTGACACACACTGGCACATACAAAAAAGGCACAATTTTTTTTGGGGGGGAGGGAGAGGGGGTTCCACGATGTTGATACACTATGTCAAAGGGTTCTTCCATGGGAAAAATTAATTGGGAACCCCTGTTATAGAAACTACTAGAGACTCCACATACAGCCTTCTACCAACATGATCATCCAAGTTTGCACTTTCAACAGTTTAGTAGATAACTCCCTAATTTGGTATCCTTTTATATGACAATGGGGATACCAAATTAGTGAACTATCTACTAAACAGCTTAACCCCTTAAGGACACATGACATGTGTGACATGTCATGATTCCCTTTTATTCCAGAAGTCTGGTCCTTAAGGGGTTAAATAGCGATATGAGGAAAAGCCATTTTATTAAGTTTGCTCTTTTATCTGCTTCGTAGATAACTCCCTAATGTGCTATCCTTATGTGGGATTACTATATCTAACAATACCAAATGGGGGACTTCTCTACAAAAAACACACACACACACACACAATTTTGATTTACTTTTTAGGGGTCCACCCAGATTCCCTATCTTTTCTGGTCTTTTCCTAAAAGAGTGCCAGTGAGCGTGCATCCACATTACTCCATTGTACCTGGTCCTCCGTGGCTCTCTTTGTTCCTCCTCGCCTGCAGTGTCCTACCTGACCCCATGCCTTGCAAGCTCTTATGGCTCAGACTCATAGCCTCTGATTGGTCAATTCCCTAGCACACATTGAAAGGGGAGGGCTTGCAAAGGCTGCTGTCAGAAGTTCTGCAGCTTTTGCAAGCCTTTTACTTGCATTCCATTGTTATCCTTGCAATTTTCTGCAATGTCATTTTACTTAAGAATCTGCTTAAAAAAAAAAAAAAACCTAGCCTTAGCTTTCCATGTAAACCTATTTCCCTGTCTTTTTAAACATTTCTTTTTCCTAACCTTGTTTTTTTAGCTCAGTATTTGCATAGTGATTTTTTTTTTTTACCATGTCTTTGAATTTTTAACCCTGTTTTTTTCCTAGCTGTCTCCTAACCCTTTCTCAGCTTTCGCTGTCGTCCTTCCTTCCCTGCCATGTTGTTTACCCCTATATATCCGTACTTGGTTTTATTCTGCTTTATCGCTTTCTTTTATGTTTTACATCTTCCTTGAACCTGTTGAATTATCCATATCGTCTACCTTCTTTTTTAACCCTGGGTTAAAGCATCCAAGCTATATAAACACTGTCATCCCCACCTCCTATTTAACTCTGCCTTTATACTGATTTCTTTTGCAACTGTGTTTTAATTTCCACAATGTTTTCTTTTCCCGACTTACCAAGACTCTTTCATAGTTATTACAATGCATCACACAGCTGAAATAGTTGAAATAACAGGTTAGCAGGGGTGCCAAAACGGTAGGTCCCCAGATGCTGCTGAACTACAACCTCCATGATTCTTAGCCTATCTAGTTCATTCACAGAATCATGGGAGTTGCAGTTCAGCAACATCTGGAGGGCCGGAGTTTGGGGAAGCCTGCTTTAGAATGACAAAGCATCATGGAAGCTGTAGATTCTGAAGCACTTTTTGGTAACAAATGATACGCATCAGATTTGCTTCTCTGACACTAGGGATAGGTTGTAACTATTGATCATGATAAGGAATGATTTTGATAATTGAGTATATAATCTTTTTTTTTTTCTTAGAATCAAATTATAAGTGTGAAACGTAAATTACACAATGGGGAGACAAAAGAACGGTGTTTTATTAATTGTTCGCTGGAAGAAAAATATTACACATGAGAGCAATTTGTTTCTTTTGAAAAGACAACACTAATTAAGCTGTTAACGCAAAGCTCAGCATATGGACAAGTAAAATAAGTACGTCCAAGGATCGTGGTGTACTTATATCTGGAACAACATGATTACAATTACTGTAATTAATGGGATATGTATCCAGTCTTCAAAATGCTTATCAAGAGCACAGTATACAGGCAAAGGTAAAGTTAATAACTTTAAATGTGTTAACTTGTTCATGATTTTGTATAAAACTAGTGCTTTGCCATTATTCTGGATCCTGTATTGTGTAAAGATTCGGATCTGAAAAGCACTGATTTTAAACCAGTCTGGCCAAATAGTAGAGATATAGTTGGGATTATTAAAGCCTTACTGGAAACGGCTTTAGTTAATATGAGCAATGTCATTCTGGGTGTAATTTGTCAATTTTCATAAAAAATTTTCAACCCGGCCAAAATTTGGTTTCTATTAAAATAGACCCATTAATGTATGTATACAATGATGTAACATGGACTTTTTATAGATTAACCAGTTCAGCTACAAAAATTTGAAACTAAATCTTTACTATTAGAAGTGAAAATTAGCAGTAGACTTCCAGGAGATATTTAAAAATAGAGAGAAATACAGTTGCAAGAAAAAGTGCAAAAATGTGAGCCCTTTGGAATGATATGGATTTCTGCACAAATTGGTCATAAAATGTGATCTGATCATCATCTAAGTCACAACAATAGACAATCACAGTCTGTTTAAACTAATAACACACAAAGAATGAAATGTTGCCATGTTTTTATTTAACACACCATGTAAACATTCACAGTGCAGGTGGAAAAAGTATGTGAACCCTTTGATTTAATAACTGGTTGAACCTCCTTTTGCAGCAATTACTTCAACCAAACGTTTCCTGTAGTTGCAGATCAGACGTGCACAACTGTCAGGAGTAATTCTTGACCATTCCTCTTTACAGAACTGTTTCATTTCAGCAATATTCTTGGGATGTCTGGTGTGAATCGCTTTCTTGAGGTCATGCCACAGCATCTCAATCGGGTTGAGGTCAGGACTCTGGCTGGGCCACTTCAGAAGGCGTATTTTCTTCTGTTTAAGCCATTCTGTTGTTGATTTACTTCTATGCTTTGGGTCATTATCCTGTTGCAACACCCATCTTCTGTTGAGCTTCAGCTGGTAGACAGATGGCCTTACGTTCTCCTGCAAAATGTTTTGATAAACTTGGGAATTCATTTTTCCTTCAATGATAGCTATCCGTCCAGGCCCTGACGCAGCAAAGCAGCCCCAAACCACCATACTTCACAGGTGGGATGAGGTTTTGATGTTGGTGTGCTGTGCCTTTTTTTCGCCACACATAGTGTTGTGTGTTTCTTCCAAACAACTCAACTTTGGTTTCATCTGTCCACAGAATATTTTGCCAGTACTGTTGTGGAACATCCAGGTGCTCTTGTGCAAACTGTAAACATGCAGCAATGTTTTGTTTGGACAGCAGTGGCTTCCTCTGTGGTATCCTCCCATGAAATCTATTCTTGTTTAGTGTTTTACGTATTGTAGATTCGCTAACAGGGATGTTAGCATTTGCCAGTGACTTTTGTAAGTCTTTAGCTGACACTCTAGGATTCTTCTTCACCGCATTGAGCAGTCTGCGCTGTGCTC